TCGTTACCACCAGGCCCAGTTTCGTGGGGATTAATTATAAACTACAAACTAACGGCATTAGCGCGCCGTGGAGTTTTGCATAACATTAAATTCTATTTATGGTCTCATAGCCGAAACCGGCTTTACGACTCGCGGCTGCTAATTAATTTCCTATTACCCTCGCGCGCAATTTCATCGAGGTTCGCGACGTTCATCGTGCTTAACGGAAGTCGGGGAGAAAATCGCCGCGGTGTCCCTCGACGTTGTTCAACGATTCCTGTATTTTTCGTAATATCGAGGCTGCCCAGAAAACATTTCGCGTTTCAAAACCTTTAATTTATTAACCGACAGCGTCGACGGAACATAATTTCGGTCGTCGTTCTGGAAGCAATTACGCTTCCCCCGCAACGTCGTGCTTTTGAATGCAGATCGTTACGCGTTTGCGCGTTTAAAGGTCCATTTACACTATCGCGCTCGTTTTATTATTAATTTTTGTAAACGAGAATTCACGTTTCCGTCAATAGCTCTATATTACGTCCGTGAGCGATGCTTCAAAATTTTAATGGAATACGTTTAACCCTCTGTTCATCGAATGAAATTGTATTGCAATTATCAACAATACGTAGGTCGTTAAATTTTGTACGGATGCTAATTAATCTGGTATTAACCTACCATCGGATTATATTGTATTCAATTATATCGTACAATACGAGCACAACTTTCAAGGCCCACGTGCTTGGATCATTTGGTAAAATTTTGCTGTTTAATATTGTTTATTCGATACTTTCGTATGGACAAGAATTGTTACGTAAGAAAGTCTTGAGGCATATTCCAGACTTTCGTCGTATAGGATTATGGTTCTAAAATTACCCGTGTCGCGTAGGAAATATCGAAAGCGTAACAGAAAAAGAGTAGAACCGCGATACAGTAACGGGCACAAAAGGAGACTATTGTAAAGACGAGAATAATGTGAGAATAGAATGCTACACGGCGCTATTTCAAAGGAATACGATTGTATTTCAAAGAATCTTAGCGAACAATCGTATTCGCTATCAGAACAACGAAATACTCCGGCCTATCCTTCGTATAAGGATCAGTGCTTCAAACTGATCCCTGCTTTTCCACGACTGATAGGTCTGTCAATGAAAGACCTGTTTCGGATCAAGGTTTCCCCAGAAGATAAGCAGCGGTAAAACTATTTGGAAAGGACGATCAACGTCTCTAACCTTCGCGTTATAATTCGATCGTTTTGACATCCTTCGAACTCGTATCGCGTTTCGCTTAATCTGTAACGTCGCAATGGTTCGACCTCGAAGTTCAACAGCTAAACGACACACTAACAATACTAAACGCTTTGTATCGACTCATCTTTATGCCGAGTTCAAACGACCTCGAATCACCTAGCAACAATTCATCATGCACGAGACAGTTTATACCGAGCGATCCGGTAGATAAACGGTGATTTATCAATTCTCCTTGAAGAGGGCATCGACACCATCGAAGTCCACTCCCAACTTTGCTGTTACTCTAATATCGCTAAAGTAATCTCACACACAGCGTCGAACACACTTACGAACTTGCAAATAATTACATTTTCATTGTCTCTCTCTGTTACGTTATACGAAATTTTTCTAATTCAGTTTTATTTCTTTTATATTTGCAGAGACAGAAATTCGTTCGTGTTCTACCCTTCGCTTAAAAAGCGTGCTCGTACAGAAACTTTCCATTAAATTTCGTCTATACGAGTTTTCAACCAGCCGTTACTACATGTGGGTCATATGTCCTAATACCATACGTCCTAGTTTCTGAAGCAGGTTCCGGTAGAGTCTTGGCGACAAGTCCACTGGAATAAAACACGTTCTTCTTCATCCTCGCCCGTACTCGTTGAGATTTAATAAAAAAAACGTATGAATTATTTCGTTCTCTTTATCAAGACTGACTCTGCGATCTGTAGTCGTTACCGGTGTTAAATGGCTGTAGATTGATAGGCCCATCGATATTTGGGATGACATCTGCACATTTGTCGACGGCGAGCGAACACTGTTCGAGTCGGGTCATGTTTGCAGTATCTGTTCCATCTGTAATGGATCGAGTAGGTGCACGAAAAGTGTTCGGAAAAGTATCGCGTTCGAAATTGAAAAAGACGGCGCTGGACACTTTGCGGATGCTTAAAACTGTTTGGCGAACGGGTTAAATGATTCGAAGGGGCTCGATGATCCTTCGAAGACACAGTTACTCGAGCACGTGAGAAAATCTTTCCCGACCACCGTTTGACCATTCGAGAGATCGCTGATCGGATAAGCATCTTTTCCGTTCGTGACGAGCAATTCTAAACGAAGATCTGAACGATAGTTTTCGATTCAGGAATTTCTTTGGAAACATATTCCTAGAGAAAATCATCTTACTTGTATGACTTTCTCCTGCTACTCGAAACAAAAATCGAAGCGAACAGGAATATTTATATCGAAGCAAAGAAACTTGCGATTCTTGTTTTTTAAAGCTGTATTCGCGAAACTTATGTTCGTCGTTGAAAAAAGAAGCGACCCAATTATGCTTCTAATAATACGTGATCCAGGATCGACCTCGATTTTGTTCGAGCTATTCTCGAAGCAGAAAATATTGGTCACATAAGGTCACTAGGTGACTATGCACGACCATGTCATTATAAGCTCGTTAAATTAAATCGAACAGAAAATACGCCCAATTTAGTCTTACCCCTGCCTTTTGACGTTTCGCTGTGTGTCACGGTTGTAGTTCAAGGACAGAAAATGTAAATCCACAGGCAACACACTCTCGAATCGGAGAGTCCAGCATGGGACAAAACTAGAAGTCTGGCATAATGCACGGACGATTAGTATTCCGTGTCCTAAATACGACACATCTCGCGTACAAGTAACCGAATCGAGCTCCCTCGTTTTCATCTAACCCGGTGAAAAGTGTTCCTTTTTTAAAAATCGATCCTCTTACACCGCGAGCGAAAGAGATAGGGCAACTTTCTCTCATTTGCATAGCCTCTTGCCCGAGAGTTAATAACAAATTTTTAGCATTCAAGCGTTTTCATAAATAAAACAAATACAGCTCGAGATCACTTTCCATTCACGAGGTTGTTCTCACCACGCCCTGAATATCGTTAAACAAATACGCTCGGGGTAGTTTCGACGCCTGGAGCCAATAGTTTTTAAAATATAAGGGGCTCTGCTGTCCCGATCTTCCGTCGACTGCGCGTCGCGACGTTTCGTCCCGACGACGGAGACAATTAAGACCGTATTAATCGTCTCGGTTTCTCCCGTTTTTCTCTCCTTTTCTCTCTTTCGCGCTTTCCTCGTCGACGAATTACGGTCAGTGGCCGTTCTCCGACGGGCGCAAATTCAATTACCGTCTCGCGCGAAGACCGGCCAACATAAATAATTACCGACGAAGCCAGACCCGCGGTCGTGCAAAAGGGGGTGGCTGCACGACGCTCGTGACCCTTTGCGGTTCCTGCGGTCGCGAGAATCCGCTGCGAGTTGCTAAAGCATAAATCATTGTCGCCGTGCCGCGAATTATCGCCTGCCGGCACGTAAGCCTTCGAGCTGCCCTTGCGACCACCACGGGGGGAGGTTTTGTATTTTATCGACCGACCTACGGTAACCGATTGCGAGGAAACGGGAAAATTCTTAACACGTTCACCGCCACGCCTCTATTCTCCAACCCTACAGGCCCTCTCCTTGTTCCACCAAATTCTACCCTCAACGTTCGATACGTTGCACACTTAAACGACTCGTTTCTCTAAAGCTACGACCATAAACGTGAACATGGAATCAAAATTCTGTTTACACTAGGTATAAGAAAATAAAGACAAGTCCAATTTATTGGGAAACTCACATACGATTACTCGTGTCATCTGGATACTTTTAGAGTTAATGAAATAAGAGGTTTGTCTCAACCCCTTAATATAATAATTCGAGTATATTCTGTAAGCAGTACTCATAAGCATCCGCGGTCTAACGATGACCTAGGTCTTCGCGCGCAAAAGTCTGAGGATAAATTTGGATTCTCAGCGACACTTTCTATCGCACTATCAATATTCTCTTCGTTTCCTGCACTACGCCGACGCGTTGGAATGCGTTGATCGACAACAACACTGAGCCAGTAGCTTCGAATTCTGTCCATGGAACGACGAATCGCGGGTTTTCTTGGTCGAATCGAACGATATTGATAATTGCTAACCGTGTGTCTGTTCACGATGGCTCCATCGAGCGTCGCTGTGTGCCAATGAACTTGCGAATGAATTTTAAGAGTCGGTAAAAATGAAGTTTTCACGCTGCAACGACTGTCACTTTGGTCTACCGAGATAAGCTTTCAGCGCTCACGCGAATGTCCCGACCCTCGTAACGTGCCAACTCGACCGAGACCTAACGTAGAAAAATTTCGCTTTTCAACGTATTTACTGGCTCGCGGCACCGGGTACGTGACCGGAACCGAACAGGTCGGGCTTAAAGGTTTAGGACAAAGTCGGGTCTAATTCCTTTTCATACTGTCTCCAAGTAAAGATAGATAAGAAACGAACCGTATACCGTACACCGTGAACCGTAAATACCCGTTCGCGCCCTCCGTGTCGCGTTCCCATTGTCACGGTGCTCGAATCTTTCTTTTTTTCTTTTTTTTTTCAATGTTCCCCGAGTGTACTCTTTTCTTTATCCTCTTCGAGCGCAAACTAACCCTAGTCGGACCCTTGGTGTAACACGTGGCGGCGAGATACGCCTCGGAGGGGACGCGGTCGACATTTGTGATTCAAAGTGTACAGTGAGGAAATGAAGATTAAGGGCGGCGAGGGTTCAAAAGAACGAGGAATTACAACACGTGTACTTCCGCGGGCGAGGATCACGGGCGATACCGGAGATGACTTATGGGTCCTCGCTTTTATTCCGATTTGTTTTTTTTTTTTTTTTTTTAAGTCACAACTATCATCACTCTATAGACCCTCGAACTATTTACTTTTCGTTAAATGCTAACGATCGACGTGTTTCTTTGTTTTCCAGATAAATCTACGCCTCATTCTTGTCAGCGGTAAGACAAAAGAGTTCCTATTCAGTCCATGCGACTCCGCGGGGGACATAGCACACCATGTGTTTGAAAACTGGCCGGAAGGTAAGCTATCATCGGGCTTTGACGCGAACCGAAACGTTCGTCCATCGTTTAAAACGGACCAGGGATCGTTGAGAATCGCCGCGCAATATAAGATCGACGAAAATCAGGCGTCCCTTGTCAGCTGTCGGCGACGCGGCGCGCATTCGCCGGATAAACGCTCGATAGCGAACGCGTCGGGAACAATGGACGTAAGACAGGGCCCGATTAAACGTCGAGACGCGTTAATCCGTCGCTCGAGATTTTCCCGATACGTGTTATCGAAATTAGAAGAACGAAATGGAACGTCGCGACGCGCTCGAACCGAATTAGGAATCACCATCCCTTACCACCTGCAAATTAAACTACAAAGAACGCACCTACGCTCTCACTGTTCAAATTAGTCGTTGGTCGACGACTGGATCGACACAAACATTCTGATTACCAAATCTCCAACCCTCGAGTATCTTACTTGCAGCGTATTCTGTAGTTTTCTGAGAATTAAAATTTCCCATAAGTCTGTTAATGATGTTTGAAAATCGGTGCTGCAGATCGTCCATTGTTGTACCGCTCGTTTCCTCTCATCAAGATACAAGATGAAAATACCGGAATTGAAAATGTTCGTGGAAAATATAGGGCGCGAAACAACGGTGTCTATCGTGGGACGAATCAGCGGCGGCAGAATCCAATTAGACGGGACGTTGCAACGCGAAACGGTCGAAGTAAAAATTTCAAAACGTCTCCGGGAACCATTTCGTTCGCGGTACGAAGAGTTTCCCGCGAAAAGTGACGGGTTTCGCTTTGCTCTCGTTTCTTTATGCATAAAGCGTGCGACCCCTCGATGGATAAGGTTTTCAGGCGAAAAAGGAATTGAATTAACGGGCGGGGCTGCTCCTTTATCCTAATACTTTAAACGTTGAAAAAAGAAAAAAGCGAACGAAGACGGTGTTTCATTCTTTTAAACATGCAAATCGCTGCGATTCTCGAGGAGGTCCCGTTTAATATTGAAATGCATTCAACGACCGCATCTTCTGGTGTCTTGAGTCATTGTACACGAATTACTTTGGCTTTTAGAGACAGAAACGAGCCGCGCGCTACTGGATCTCGACTCTAAGACGGAATGTTCCCATCAACGAGGTGGTACTCTTTAGGAAATTCATTAACGAACTGCGACGAGTATTCGGCGTCTCGAATTATCGCGTGTTGTGTCGAGCCTTTCGTTTCTTTGAATATGTCGTATTCTTTTCGAAACGGTTTATTTTTAGTCCTTCCACGAGCATAGAAAGTTTCATAAAAATCAGGAAGGGATATTTCGCAGATGTTCCTTGGCAGTGCCAGTTATACGATGCATAAAACAGTCATAATCCTTAAAATAGCTGCAGATATTAACGTCTCGTTTAATGACTACGGGTTCTTTGATCGATAAAAGCTTTATTTCTAAATCCAGACGTCCAGGATTGTTTTAATAATAAAAGGAACTTCGCGTCCGTCGTACCGAACCGGAACAGGGCTAGCGATAAAATTATCAGAGCGACGAAGTATCCGTATCTTCCGCCCCGGCGGGCACGAATTTCTTTTCAACCCCCTCCCGTGTCCCGTGGAAAAACTGAAAATATTCCAGGCAAGGTCGCGCTGGTCTGATACGAGACTCTTTGTCTTTCAGACTGGGCGGAAGAGGCAGTCGCCAAAGCGGAGATCCTGCGGCTAATCTACCAGGGCCGTTTTCTGCACAGCAATGTCACGCTCGGTGCTCTTGGGCTTCCTTTCGGGAAAACCACGGTGATGCATCTGGTCCCACGAGAGAATCTTCCCGAGCCTAATTCTCAAGGTAAATCATCATCGACCGTACCGTTCTCATATTCCGACCGCGGTGGAAATAAAAGCGAACGGAACTTCTGCCCTCTGCGCCAGGCCAGCTTTCAAGCCAGTGTTCTCCAAACTAGGGGTCGCGATCAATGATCAATTCACCTTATGTGCTAGTGCTTAGCCCTAATCCTGCTGGAATTCGTGACTTCGAGTTGAACTTTGTGGGGTTTGCCATTTCGATCTCCAATTTTTTAACAAACATTTTTTTTTGTTTCCTCCATCGTCGAGAATGGCCTGTTCTTTTTAGGGTTAAACCCTCTGAAAAGTTTGGAGACCACTGGTTCAAGAAGTCCCGCGAAAGCGTGCAGCACGGTTGCTTCATTATGCGCGGGTTACGTGATTCGCAGAATAAATATGGCAACGGTCTTTACACACAGCCGAACACATTGTTTTTCTTTCCCTGGCACGGTCGTTAATCCTGTTACTTCTTGTCGGACGTGTACTCGAGATAACTGCGATACTCCGCCATTCCTCGTAACCGACCAACGAAATTCGTATTTCTAGTATCCTATTATTCCCTGTGCGTCTTTTCCACGGTATGTGTGCTTTCGGTAACAATTGTCGGGACGTAATTGGGTTCGACTATATGTAAAAACTTATTTATTTACGTATTCGAGCATTGTGTTCGCGTAATTTAGAGAGCTCGGGGCTCCTCGATTGGTTTCGATACGATTTCTGTCATTGTTTGAATTTATTCGCGATTTATCATTTAATTGCTTCGAATTGAGACTCGATCGGTGAAATGAAATGGTTGTTAGAGTGGGTGTTCGATAAATTCGTGTAAATTACTCTCCGTTCATTTGTTCGATTATTATATCAATGGTTTCAATTCTATATTCATAGATAACTTGAATAACTTAAGAATTATGAATACTAAGGTTCGTTTTTGCTAGAAAGGAGTACTATAACTCTTCTGTTAACTAAAGAGGAAACAATGAACAGGAATTGCAATTACGATCACGTGATAAGCATGTAGATCTTTAAATCTATGCATTACCGAAGCATTCCAATTACAGGTCTTTTGCCTAACGGTGAATACATGCATATTCAGCCCGACGACACTGATACCATCGACAGCTGGTACGAAAGTCACAGAGTATCCTAAATCCAAAGTGAGTCCCTGTAATCCACGATCCACTTGTTCACTCTCTTCGAGCCTTTGTCGTTGTCGCCGACAAATATCCTTTACGCTCGGTAGGCACGACGATTCATAGCGATACTCATCCCGCGTTTCCCTCGCCCGTGGAACGAAACAGAGGAGGAAAAAATATTACCCCGGTTTACGGTACGCCTGCGGAAGTCGGGGACAACGGTCTTTCGTGCACGGAAAAGAATTGCGACTTGCGGCGACGGAAACGTTGCATTTAGTACGAATGATAAACGCGTACGTTGCACCGTGACACACGCCTGAGGGGTTACACCAGGTTGGAGGCAAAAAAATATTCATGGTTCTTTAAACCTTAATTGCGGAACTACGATGCACGAAAAAATTTATTTGTCTTGGCGTACGAATATTATCGTTGAATAAATATTCTCGTCTCGTCCGAAAGGCGGACCCACGGAAAATTTTCTTTCATTTAGCCAGAAGTTCTGCACCGCTGTGCTGAAAAGAGCGGTAGGATGAAAATTGGAATTTTTGAAGAAGTCGGTTGAAAATCTTTGCAGAGCACGCGCGTGATATATCGTGCATAAATGGTGTGTATGACCGGATGAAAATTAACTGGCCGCTCAAGATCACTTAATCCCCCAAAGAGGGATCGCCCCACCACGTTTGAATGCCTCTCTGCCCTATCTTTTGTTCAATATGTAAGCACGTGGGGGATCCTGTAAGACAAGGGGCAGTTCTATAACGCCATTCACGGTCGAGTGGCCTTCAACGGCCAGTTGAATTTGCCTCCGCGTTCCTGCACGATCATCCGCGAATGTCTACGCGCACCGTGTAAAATACGAAACGTTCGAAGGCAACGTGTTTCAAGATCGAAACCCGAAGAGGCCCCTTCCCAGAAATAAGCATCCGACGACGATGGAACGAGCCACGCGATCGACGGCCAAGTTTAACGAAACGGCGATTCTATCTGTTACAGATCAGAGGCAAAAAAGTAAAGGTGGCGGAAGTAGTTGCTGCTCGGCTTCCTGTCGCATACTTTAAAACCTCGCCGGCTGCCCTGGATCACGCGGGGGTCGTTCAGTGCGAACCAGCGCACGCGTTCAGGCTGAGCCATGGTTTCTAAGGTTTTATGCTGGTGTATAATTGTTAGTGGCTGAGCTCGTGAGCAGTGTAGCATACGAAAAAAAAAAAAAAGTAAAAAAGGAAAAAGAAAATATGAGATCGCACCCGTTTGTCGCTGATCGCGCGAAAGATTTCGTTGGTTTGCCCCGCGGCGCATCCGAATAAACGAGAGAGAGAGAGAGAAAAAAAAGGAAACGTTCGCCCCGCCGTCCCAGGGCGAACGATTCGTCGCATCCTTGTGTCTGTTTCTTTTTTTTCTCAATTTTTTTTTCTTTTTTCCTCTCTTTAGACGAAATTCGTCGAGGCAGGATTCGGAATCGTTGCGCGTTTAATCCTCCGGGGAAAGCAAGAGAGAGAGAGATAACCGACGCGCCAGAGCCAAATCACACATAGAGACGCATACACACGCGCGCGCGCGCGCGCAGCTGTCCGTTTTGTTTCGGTGGTGACGCGTGCACTTGTTCCGCGGTGTGTGCGCGCTGGAAATCTATTTATGACCTGTCATCGCGACAGGAGATGATCATTGTAGTCTGCCGATGACCTGCTGGTGTTCGCCGCGCGGGCGTCGGGACGCGTGACGTCCGGACGCGACCGCCGATCCCTCTGATTCTACGGGCGAACAAGTTGCGCGTTTCGACGGGCAAAGAACGCGCGCGCGGACACGCGCCGATCTCCAGACATTAAAAATTAGTAAGATAAATTTTTTCGAAAGAGATTAGGAAGTAGAGCCTTCGAAAAAGGGGGGGAGGGGACACCGCTCTCTTGAACGGCGCTACAATGCTTAGAAACTCAACCACTATCCGACTACCGCAGCGTTTAATAGTAATTACGTAGAACGGGATCGTGTGTGTATGTTTTGCGTAAGTATGAGTGTGTGCGTCGCGTTTGAAAGGTCGAGGAGAGAGTAAATTTATGTTGTGATATGCAGGTAGTGAATATATTATATATATACATACTATTATTAAAATTATATATTATATATATATATACATATATATATATATATAGGTATAAATATAAATATATATATATATATATAATGGTATGAGACATGTTGACACACAGTTAAACTCTCATACAATAGACTTTATTATCATGAATTTAAAGTAATATTATGACGCCACTTTGAGAGTTTAGTATTCTGGATAAGATTACAGAGGGAAAAGAACATTGGATCTCTAATGGTAGTTATGATTAAATAAAAACTCAAATATATTTCCTGTTAGATATCCTTCTCCCCCCGCTCACCACCTTATCCCGTTTCTCTCCCTTAACCCTTGTACGCCCCTTACTCGACACCTTCGATTTCCCTTTATTCTGTTTCCACCCGTCCATTTTTAATCGATCGGGCCTAGAACGTCATTCATAGACCCAACGATCAATTCACGTTATAGGCGAGAATACCCATTCGAGTATTGATTATTATATAGGTTAGGTGCAACCAAACCGTTTATGATAAGTTGTAGCCTATTCTATACTCAATCTATGCTACTACTGTAATGTAACTATGACTCTTACCGACGCATAACACGTGTATATATATATAATGTTCTTACGTAGTGAAACTCATCGGAATTAACAATGATCGTGTTATTTAATTTATTCCGTACAAACCTCAGCAGACATCGTTTCGCACATTCGTTGTGCCATCGCGGTGTCTGCTCGACTCATAAACCTGTGCCGCACGATACGAATTTTTCTTCTTTTTTTTTCTTTTTTTCTTTTCTTTCTTTTATTCTTGCGAAGATTCACGGATCTCGGTGGTCTCGCCGAAATTCCGCGAACCGAGCATGCGTTTCTTAGCGATCGATTAATATTTTCCAGAAACAGAAAGAAAAATCAAGTGAGAACAGAGTTCTTGTAAATTCGTATCCCGTGGAATCGATTCTTACGCTGTGAAAAGCCTTTACCATGATTCTTCATGGCGATGAGAACCGTTCGGAGTTGTTCTCGAATTTTAATGAAATTTAAAACGATGCGTGATGTTGGACGATCACTCGAGGAGGTGCAAAATAAAGAATTGTGTTAAAAAACGATATTTATTGGCTACAGTTTTGCGTACAAATCTTTCGAATGAAATTAATCCCTTACTATGTGAATTTCTTTTCTTTCTTTCTTTTCAAGCGTAAAGAAAGTGCTATCGTTCCTGCACGTTAACGTTACGCTGCAGAACTGTTTCAACAGCTTGAACGTTAAGAGGTAATTTCTCGTGAAAAAATTAATCGATGTGGGATAAAATTTCCTGCCACGCGACGTCGTTTTCGAGAGAATCCGTTTTGAAGCACAGTAGAGGTACGATACCTATCATAGACGTAGTAATTTGTATCGCGAAATGGACTATTTTCTTAACAAAACCATCGTCACTATTGTACGATCGAAAAGAGAGAACCGTTCGAGCGCTTGTTAAAATTACGTTAACAAATTCGCACGTCTCCCATTTACCAATATTTTTAAATTAAATTTATCCGAATTAAATTAAGCAACGACACATGCACGACTGCATGCATTCCTCGCACAAAGTCGTTAACTGGGGCACGCGTGCCCGCGCAAATTTTCAAATTCGATTATCTCGAAAACGAAGACACGTACAAATAGAAATTTTATTGTACATTTTTCATTTGGTTTTTCCAGAGGAACCGTCTGTGATCAGGTTGTACCACGTATGCGTTCCGAGACCTAAAATGTCCTGAAATCATTCAAGTATACGACATATACATATAATATATATATAGGCGCTATATTTTCTTCGAACGATGGATGTTAAAAAATTAAACTAAAAACCTGATGCGTGTCTTGTACGGCACGCCAATACCAGTAAGGGGTTAATTCTACGAAACACGTGCATTCGTTTGCGCATTAATATTATTTAAAGCATCGAGGTACAATCGTTTAAACAATTGGTGCATCGCGTGGCATGCTGAACAATGGGTTTATGGGGATGGCTAACACTTATGATTTAGCATTTTATTATATCTCCGTCAGATTTGCGATCGGTTGTTAATCGATGTTTCGCAAAACACCGCCGCCTTCGTTTGTTCATGTATTTCTTTTTCTACTCACTTTCGTTCTATTAATTTTTGTTTCGTCTTGTTTTTTTTTTTTTATTTCTAATCAAGTAACGTTAAGACATAGATTATCTCTAAATTGTTTAGTAAGTAAGTTTTAAAAAAAGTTACGAATAAACACATCACACGAATACATGGACTATCAGAGGAAAACCACGCAATGTCTAGCTGGACGCTATGCGACGAGGATCGGTGTTCGATCGACGATCGATCGGAACCGATCGTTCGCCGGAATCGAAGATTTCCGTTTGTCGTCCGGCCACGAGGTAAAAGTCTCGCGTGTACGCGAAGAGAAAAGCCGCTCTGTAATAAGCTTGTTGTACAGTTCCTTTGACGTTACAATATTACTTTAAAATCTTGGAAGGAACGGGGGGGGGAAAAAAGCGCGCGAAATGAAAAAAAAACCGTAACCGTCGTCGGAGACTCCCGTTCGACGCGCAACGACGAATGTTTCCTTCGTTGGGTGAATCGTTCCGAAATTTTACCTCGTCTGTCGCGAGTTATTTTGAATCGTTGTAACGAAATAAAGAAAAGAAAAAAAATGAAATACTTTGTATAAAAATGTTCCGTGTAGAGAGCGTTCGATGCCACCTTGTTCGAGAAATATTTCTAACGGTAGTCCACATCTCTTTCTCTCTATTTCTCTTTCTCTGTGTCTATATTAATATGTCCGTTGTTCTTTCTTTCTTTTTTTTTTTTTTTTCTTATTCTTTTCGTCGTACCTTATACGAATATGATCTCACGAGAACGCTATGAGAACATGTTGCACCCACGAGCTGTAGCAATGAAAAACAGAGAATTAGCGCCACGGAACTTCCGAGAGATCATAATGGAGAAAAGGGATTAATTTTAACATAGTGTATTATATAAACTATACGCATCTGACTCTCTTTGTTGTTTAAACGAGTAAACGAAAAAGAAAAAAAATGACGAAAAACTTGAATAACAATAAAATGGTATTCTTAAATACAGAGAAAAAAACGAACGAACACACAGTCTACGAGGAATATACTCACACTACATCATATCAAAATTTTAGCGGATAAGAATCAAATGATAGATTTATTTGTACACGCGGCTCGAGGGGAAAATCGTACAACAACGTACAAAATTTGATTCTTCATCGACGTTCACGTGTATCTATAAATGAATTACAGATTTAGCGTGTATAATACAAAAGGTATCGAGGATCGTGGATGCGATTCTTGTTACGCTTTTAACGTAAAATGAGCTGATTACAGGTTTTTATTGCGTATATGAAAAATTTGAAATGGTATGAGAGTCGAGATCCTCGACGCGTAGATCTCTCCTATTGTGAATGTGGTTCGTTTTGAAACTCGTGTACAATGTTCTGTTGTTTGTGTTCAATTATAATATTGTTTCTGTTAAAGAAGAAAGAAGTCCCGTCGAGGACGAAGAATAAACTGTGCCGTCTGAAAATTCCCTTATTTTTGCAAATCGAAAACTGTAGTCAATTCAGATTACCTTGAAAAGTTCGATCTTACGCACCCATTGGCTGGAGTTGGGCAGTGATCGATTACTATTTAATCATTAATTCAACGATTTATTAACGGAAATAAAATAATCGTTTTAAACGTAAATAAAGGTTACTCCAATTTTTGCTATAGTCGGGATAAAATGAATTAGTCGCTCAGGGTCATTTTACGGCAACCTTCCATCATTCTTCTGTCTCGTGTCATTGTACTAACATCCACGCAGAGTGCTCGAGCAAACACAACAATCATAATTATCAATCATTAGTTTAATTACAGTTGTCCAACTCTGCCATTGGCATTCTTTATCCTGATAGATTACTTCGATCGCTAGTCAAAGAGATTTGTCACGAGAAAAATGATAATCTTATCTCAGCTAACAAACACGACAAATCATCCAAATGCATCAAATAAATGTAAAAATCAAAATGACAAACAATCATTCGCAACAAAAGCCACAGATAATTTTTTAATCCCCGGTACGGAATTGCCTAAAATAAACAAACTAATACTTCGCTCGTAAACACATTCCAAATTGATACAGATCCCCACGCCCCTGTCCCGATCTCCCTTCCAACCCACCCCTCCCCCCTTTTAATTAATTAACCGCGCGAGTCGCATTAAAAAAGAATTAAATATCGTTAAAAAAATTCCGTGTTGTTCGATGTTGAAGTTCAAACGCGATCGTAGAACGTGTATGGTGTAATATCGGTTGTAACATGCCTGACAAATTTAGAACTCGCGAAACTCGTGTTACACGTGCAATCTGTATTGACGTCGAGATTCACGATTTCAAAAAAAAAAAAAAAATAAAAAAAAAAAAAGAAGAGATGTACAAAGCAAACTATAATTTTATACGGAAATCGGGATGTATAATTTACTTGAAATCCGCGAACGTTAAAATTTCACACGTTACGCTACCACTTAGAATCAAACAACATTGTTGTATAAAATTCTGATCACCTCTGCTGTCTTCGAATGACTGAATAATTCTGCTGACTTTTCGTTATTTTGCCATCATAACGGTTCGATAACAGTATTTTTCTAGGCAATGACTGTTCGCAACGGCGCGATACACGCACGGTGTATGAAAAAAAATATTTGTCAGTTTTCATTGGCGAATCTCTGCATTTGAATCGATGGAAATTTATTTTAAAAATCTGTCGACGTTCAACGCTTTTTACCTAACGAGAGAATAAAAATTTTAGGAGGAACAATAGGTCGCAAAAAATTGCTATAGTTAAAATACATACAGTGTATTATGTTCATGAATTACGTACGTATAACACAGCATTAATTAAGATTTTTAATTTTAAGGTCAAAATGATTTTAACAACAGGCTTTTTAAAACGTGCCTCTAGCAATCTAGATGCACAAATTCGTCTATAATAACTGCGACAAATATTTTTGTTTATATCCTGTGTATAAATTCGCGAAAATTAATTTCAGAAGAAAAGAACACATCCACATATTTTGTTGTTAGCAGATTGTCTATATATTTTTTTTTCTTTTTTATTTAATAACCTTTTTGTTTCGTTCGATGAATGCGTAAAATTTGAGACGTCTTAACGTATAAAACCACTTCCTGCATCGATTATAATTTACTCTTCGAGGAAACGGTTTCGAGCCAAAAATGTCTTTTTAATCCTTCAATAAGGGAAATGTATAAAACGTTTTCAACTGGCCGTCCTACATAGAATATGGCGAATGTTAAATACATTATTTGAAAGCTCTCCTACTTATTGCCATAACTTATTGATGCGTGTAAATTGTAACAAAATGATCCAACGTACTAACGCTGAAAGTGTAACAAAATGTAACACGCAATAATTTTTGTAGACCTTATGTTAATAAAACCGATGTTAATAAATTTTTCCATATTGATTCAAATATGTAAAAAAAAAATAGTAATTTTGAAGTGAACGGTAAATCGAAGTGGTAAATCTCGTGGAAATATACATTTGTATTGATAATTATTTTACAGTATCTGCGTGTTAATTTACGTAAATGTAATAGACATTGAAAATTAGCAGTGGCGAACAACACTCACCCAATATCTCATGAATCCCTGTTATATTTCCATTTGCTATATAAAATCTTACTTTTTACCAGAATGTCTCTGTGTAACGTATCGTTTTATATACAGTCAAGTATCTTATCGTACATGTAACATAGAATAAGGAATATATCATGCCATAAAAAGTGACAGTGGTAAACGTTTCTAAACAAAAATCATATAGCGATAACTACCATATTCATTCACATGAGAATACTCTCGTATAACTGTGTACATGACATTCATTTCTTATTCAACACACATTACTATTAAATTACAAGCATTTAAAATTTTCTTCTGCCTTCTGATTTATAATGTTAATTTTAAAATAATACATCATAATTACTTTTATATAGAATAGACGTTATATTTTATCGCTACTTTTACGTAAAACACTCACATGTAAATAGTGTGACGAACAATTAAATTGAATAACAATGGTCTTAGACTTTTTTCAACGGATTTCTTAAACAGATACATATAATTTTGTTATCTGTTGCGCAGAGAAGAACAACCAATTTCTTACAATAGGGCACAGCATAACAATGTTGCAACGTGGCAGGATATTTCTATACAGTAAAGTAATTTCTATAATATTGACTCGGTGTGTACTGCAAAGAACCGTCTTGTAATTGTTAATAATTTTTAATGAGTGGATGTAAGGTATATCCACATACTGTGCCGTCTTGTAACGAACTTGTCGATAAATATCAAATTTTTGAGAACTTATTGTTAAGCTTGCGTTACACACCTCATTTGTAAATATTAGATCATATTTTTGTCTGTAGCATAATGAGGATTTTAACTGCAATTTATTTAGTTCATAGTATAAAATAATAAAGCTGGAAAATATAATGGAACAAAAGAAGTGTTATCATTTCTCCAGCTTGTAAATGATGTAATTCTACGTGTGAAATAACATTTATTATACATGATTCCTTTCGTAATCATTTCAAGTTTTATTATTTTTTTTTAGCATTACAAAATAACCAGTCATTAAGATTGATAACAGCTGAAATTGTAGATTATGAGAATGACCTTGAAGGTATTGGTCGTACAGAGTGCTTAAAAATGCATTTTCTGAATGTTTTTTACGACCAACTCAACCGAGTCATTCTTCTAATTAATTTTTATAGCAATTATAGGTTAGGATTATAGATCAAAATTATAGGTTATGTTTAACGAAATATATATATATATATATATATATATATTAGAAAAAAATAGAATGATCACATGTTCATGCTTATTGCATAGATATCTTTTAAACAATATTTTTTAAAAGTAATTTTTGCATATAAAAAATCTCTTAATCAACTGCCTCCTAACCAACATTTATGAATATATTTTAATTTATAATTATTCTTGTATATTGCAAAAAGTACGAAATCTTAACCAATCAGACGTCACTTGCAGGTATAGGCTTAAGGGTAGCGCTCACGTCGCTGGTACTGTGAATGTGGCTTTACAAACAATCGATTCGTAACGTTTCCAACGAACCGAATCCAACGTATCTGATTTGTTTAGTGGCTTGCGCAATTTGTGGTGCTTTCAGAAAACTAATTTGGTATATCGAAAATAACGATAACGAAAATACGAGCGATTACAGAAATTCACTCCGTATTCTTGATTGAGATTCGCATAACGTCTACATAATTGCTGGCAAGTATACACATTCCTGAATAAATTATGATTACTCGTTACCGGCATTCGCAGCATTTTATTTCGTATCTCCGTCCTGTATTTTAAAAGACCGGATTAAACTAATTATTAATTCTTTAATATTTATAAGGTGTTTTGCATATATGAAATGTCATCGTTATTTACAGGCCGCAAAATGGCTACTCGTCTTGCACCAGAGATTATGTCACAGCTCAAAGCATTTATTGAGCAGTGTGTGATAAATCCTTCGATATTAAACAATCCAGAATATGATTTTTTAAAATCATTTATTGAACTCTTTGGAGGAAGAGTACCCAAAGGTAATGCAGATGAATCACAGAGCAAAAAAGTCAGAAAATACAGAGGGCTTCAAAACGTCGGAAGCTGAATCTAAACTAGAATTAGAAAGCGACGAGAGTGACTTAGAACTGGATATGAGTGGTGTTATCAGTGAGTATAATAAATATCTGAGATTGAAACAGTTAACATTAAAATCTCTTAATCGTTTTAAAACTTGATGCAGATGCTCCACAAAAGATGGGAAATCTTACCTTACAACTACCAGTTAAAAAAGTTGCAGAGTCTCAAACCAAACGTTCTAAAGCTGTGTCAGCATTTGCAGAAAAAGATTATGAGAAAGCCATAGATACTCTGTACAGAAGCAATTGTGCTGAATCCACAGGCATCGTTACTTTATGCCGAACGTGGACAAGTATTCTTGCTGTTGAACAGGCCTAATGCTTGCATAGTAGAAGCAGCTAGCGATTTGAGACTTGCTTGTAAATTTGACTTTGATGAACAGACTGATGAATGGCTGCACGAAGTTACACCAAATGTAAGTACAGTCCTATTAATTACAGTAGTGTCCACATAAATGATCATATTTTTGCCTTGACACTGGTCGTTATCGATATATTGTACATATGGTTCCGGATGCCAGCTCTTGTATCTCACTCGCACTTATCTCCGTTGAATACTGAGAAATAATCATGCCCACAGAAGTGACCACGGCCGGTCCCGAGCGTGGTCACTTATGTGGGCACTACTGTATTATACTTTTAACTTTTGTGAATAATTTGTATTTAGGACTGAGATGTCGCATTTACACAAATGAAAATCACAACACACATTCCTATTCGAAAATACATAAATTAAACCTACTTATCTTAAATATATAAATTAACATTTACATAAAATAACAACTTATTTTCACTAGCGAAGTAAATATTTTAATATAGTAAACGTAATTAAGATATTTTTTTTATAACTTGGATGACAATAGCAGTGACTGTAATAATAACAATATCAGCAATCTGCATATCTGCAAAAAGCCAATCACACGCGTGAGCATTAACAACACAATGCAAACTAAACAATTATTTTATACGAGGCGTTTAATTTACACCAGGTACATTAAAAGTCAAACGTTTTACTAAATCAAAACAATATATTCATTTACATCGAAAATATAGTCTGCGTATTAACATGGGAACATGTTATCGAGTAACTAATCATATATATTTTTTTTTTTAATAAATATTTTATAACTTTTAATAAGAACACAATTTCTTTATACAAGGTATTTCACAAAAGCCTCGAAAAGAGATCATTCTTGTCTCTTTCTTAATGGAAATATTTTATATATTTTATCTTACATACTTCTAATATGTAAGTAAATTCTTGCTTCCGTCGCGTGGTATTCAGACGGCTCAAGTGTCACAGTGCTGTATAATAGTTGGCATAACTATTACACTGAGTTTCAAAGAAGTCTATCGCGCGAGTTCATTGTATTCCCAACTTTTTATTTACGTATTAATAGGACCCACTGTTGTCGTGATACGTTTTCCAAAACTGCATGGATCAAAGCTGTTTCGAAACACATTCGAGGAAAACTCACTGTCCATTTTAGATCGGAATGGTAACACTCGTATTGTCTCCCAAACACAAGTAGCATCTTGAAATCTTCCGACTTCCAATCCACCAATGCACTTAATCGTATGCTGAGTATACTATCGTGAATGTACGGTTTTCAAATACGCAGTGGCTTACCTGCAAAACCAACAATATACCTTCATACTCCGAAACTGCATCACCTCCTCATCCATAAATGAATCGTCTAGTATATCGCGCAAGATTGTGTTTCAGGAGCTCTATTTAGGTCTTGCATTCTTCGCTTCGTCTAGGACCCCGGTTGAATTTTTATCTAAGGGCAATCCAACCCTACGTTTTTGCTGTTTCAGGAAATAAAGTTCTCTGTACCGCCTCAAGTATCGAGCTTACGCTAACGTTCCTCTCCTCTCGCGTCTTTGCTTTTTTTTTTTATTTCTGTACAATTTGCTCGCGCTCCATACGACTTTATGGCATCGAGAGCTCTGTTTCGCAATGTTGAATCACACTCAACTAGGAGGACTCGTCTCGTACTCGTGCATGACTTGCTCCACGGACTTTTTGTATTTGCCCACGAGCTCGGGCAGGTCGTAGGCGATGGCTACGTCGAGTCTATTAATCGGGCATCCACGGAAATAGGTGCACGTGGAGCTCAACAGGGGAAAGTCGTAAAGAGGATTCAGTCGGAAGAAGTCTCGATAAACGTCTGGGTCGGGCAAATCGTAACGGGATATATTTTTTAGCGTGCTCAGGCCCTCGTAGATGTGATAGTCTTGGGGATTCTCGATGATTTTGTCGCTGATCTCCTTTTTGTTTCCGAAAAACGTCTTGTGATTGTAATACGTGGTTAGATAGCAGTCTACCATTTTGGCATGATTGCGCACTCGTACCTGTAATCAGAAAATATATAAAGCACGACGATTCGGGGGGATGGTCGACGTCGTTGACTGTCGAGAACCGCGTTAAATTCGGTGGCACAACTCACAGCGAATCTTCTAGCGCTCGCTATCTTGTGCTCGACTCGTTTGTCAATGGCAGTACGTAGGTCGCGGAGGAATGCACGCTCTTGAGCATATAACAACCTGGTCGGTGCACCGGCCTCGTAAGGTAACGACCACAACGACGTGGAGTACATTATAGGTGGCTCGGCGCTGGACATCAGCGGCGATATGTTCCATATTAAAGCCCCTTGCACTCTCATGAGCTCCTCTGGCTTCACTTGATCAGCTTTGTTAAGAATGATGCGTGTCTGTGTCGGAAGTTTGTGGTTACATTGTGTTCACGCGTTGTAAAGGTGCAGCGAATGCTTACCTGGTACTCCTTCCCCTTCAGTTGATCGAGGATCGCCTCGGTCTCCGGTCCAACGTCCAATTTGGATGGATCGTAGACTAAAAATATTATGTCTGCACGGTCGATGAACCACTGACACGCATCGTTAAACGGGAACAAACGTTGGACCTGTTTTCGGATTTCTAGGATTCCTGGTATCTCGACGATATTGACCTGGTGGCGTATTAATAGTATACAATTGTATCTGTTAGAGTAATACAATGATTCTACTCGAGGGAAGACACGACTTGAATGAGTGTTTCTTAGATAGAGTTGGAACTTAGAGGCTGATGAGTCTCTAGAATATTAGCACGTATACGACCCTGTAACTTTACTAGTTGGTTCAAGATCAGTTGGCTGTTCAAGGCCACTCGAGAGCTGTCCCCCTCCACGTCGCTTGGCAGGCTAGCAAATTGAAGAGAAGCAAGTCGACGTGGCATAAAAGTAGATGCCCTTGAGTGTAATCTGATTTTAGAACGTAGCCCTATCTAACCCACTGTGACTCGAAGGTAATTTGGTTTGGGTCAGGTTTTGAGCTTTGCATGTAATTTTATAATTTTTAATTTGGTATTCCAACGTGGAGCAATCGTATTTGAAATTCAAGTTCAAGGTCATCTCAAAATCCTGACATTACAGATAATTCGATCTTTCTTTATGGTGGTTCTGATAATCTAAGATTTGCTCATCCAGGTCATGACCTCGCTTTGGTAGAACCAACAATTTATTTGATACGCGATCGACTCACTTTTTCCAACAGCTTGCTGTCGAGTCGTAGACCTTTGAGACGATCGAGCATACCCTGCCCGAACTTTTGCAGACCGGAGAACGTCCAATCGGCGGCCAGCTGCGTACCGTCAAGGATCTCCTCTTCCTCTCCGTGCATTAGAATATTGAAGTAGGCCGGAGACGGTTCGGCTCCTGTGTCATTTCCATTTGGCGTTTTGCATTGCTCCTCTAAGCACTCTCTCAAATCACCTAAACACTATCTGTATATTCATGCTCCTAGCATGCTTCTACTGTTAACTCTGTCGCAATTTGTTTTTTAACAAGGCTATCGTAGGCGTGATCACGGCCGACTGGGTTAAGCGTAAATGAAGTAGGGTGAGCAGCATCCCTCGCACAAAAAATTCACGTTTCACCGTTACTTACGCACCTGTCCTCAACGATGTCCGTTTGTACTCATTCTCGAGCAAGTAGTTTATGATGGAAGATTTCCCGCCGCTCCACGGACCCATGAAGAGAACCAGCGGCTTAGAGAATATCTCTGGGTCTACGAAACCACGGTACGTCAGTAGAAAAAGTACTTATTTGGTGTCTTCGAAGTACTCACCGCCGAAGTGTCTGTTGCTCAAGTCCCTGTACTTGTACAGGGACTCCAGCGGTTGGATGGCGTTGTCGTATACCCTCTTCAATTCCTTGAGAATTACTTCTCCGATTTTCTGAATAGCTCGTTCCTTGTCTTCGTTCTCCTCGTCCAACTTCAGTAACTGGTTGATGTGATCGCGCGGTCGCAGATTCTCCGGCACCTCGATCTCTTGAATCAGGTCTTCCTCGGGGGTGGGTTCCTCCTCCTCGCTTTCAGCCGCGTCCCCGGATCCATCGGTCTCGTCCTCGGAGTCTCCTTCGTCTCCCTCTTCGCCAACTTCTCGCCTGCCGCGAGATTTCGCTTCCCCTTCGGTTCCTTCCTCCTCCGATTTCGCTTCCTCGGCTGATTTTTCCTCCCCCTCGGCGGATTTCGCTTCTTTCTCCTCCCCGGATTCACCGTCATCTTCTACAGATTTGGCCGCCGCGTCCTCGCCGGATTTACCTTCCTTGTCTTCCTCGTCTGTTTGACCTTCGGTGCTCTCGCCTTGACCCTCTTCATTCTCTTCCTTTTCTTCTTCTTCGCTGGCCTGCTGTTCCTTCGACTGAGCTTCCTCGGTCTCCTCGTCAGCACCAGCTTCCTCTTTAGAAGCAGCCTCTGCATCCTCCGTAGAAGCTCCTTCTTCCTCCGCCTTCGAATCCTCGTCCTCCGCTTGCTCCTTCTCCTCGTCGGACTTCACATCAGCTTCGTCGGATTTCTCCTCGTCGAGTTTCGCATCTTCAGCCGATTGTTCCTCGGTCTGTGCTTCTTCGTCGGATTTTCCATCGTCCGCTTGCGCTTCTTCGGCCGATTGTTCTTCGGCCTGTGCTTCTTCGTCGGATTTTCCATCGTCCGCTTGCGCTTCTTCGTCGGATTTTCCATCGTCTACCTGTTCCTCCCCTTCCTCCTCGGATTTCTTCTCATCCGCCTCTGTTTCCTCGCCAGACTTCTCGTCCTTGTCCTCCTCGGTTTGATCCTGACCCGAATCCCCAGCATCTTCCTCTACTTTCTCGGGAGACTCGTCCTTGTCCTCCTCCGTTCCTGCATCAGCCTCATCAGATTTGCCTTCCTCCTGTGCAGCTTCACCTAGACAAATAATACAGAATATACTCTTTTATCCAGGATCCTTTTCCGTTCAACATCGATTCTACTTTAGTCTTGGCGTATACCTTCTTCGGTTTCATCCGCCTCGACGCTTCGTTCTCCCGCGCCTTCTGCGCTTTGATCAGCCTCCGCTGACGCCTTGTCGGCTTCGTCCTCGGCTTGTTCGTCGCTTCCCGCGGTTTCTGCCTCTACCGATTCCCGTTTGTCCTCCTCCGTTGCCAAATCTTCCGTCGAAACATCGTCTGTTGGCTCGCCATCCTGAAACGAACACGAGTCATTCCCTAGATTCATTTTTTCCGCTTCTATAAATTCGTGCGTTTAGAGACGACGTCTTACTTCCTCGCTCGCAGCTTTTCCTTCTTCTTCATGACTCTCTTTATCGGCGTCTGTCACAACCTCGGCACTGGTCTGCTCCAAAGATCCTTCAAACGAAACATTCTAGAAATTGCTGTGCCTCGGTTGAATATTCGACAACATTACCTGTACCGAGATCCTTCAACGCCTTCTCAATGTATGGCCGACACAGATCCTCCGGTGGCACCTCTAGCTCTTCTTCGCTTTGCACTCCTGGAACACGAAGTTCACCCTCGAAAATCTGATTCCAAATAACTTAGCGTGTTTCTCGATCGAGAATAATGGTCGCTAAACAAATAACCGAGTGTTGTAACGCGTCGATGTGTAAATATGCGAAACACACGATCACGCGGATCACGTTAATACGATGTATTTGCGCGAATTTTACGATTGGCTTGATTTTAATGCCGATTCTTCGGCTGCCAGGAATTTTCGTCGGGAGTTCTCGCTATGTCGAACACGCGGTGCCAAAAGAAGGCGCGGGGTATTAGATAACGCGAAGCTTAGCAGAGGGTTTAACGCCACGCGACCACCAAAAATACCTGACCCAGGTGACGCAAGATCTTGTCAAAGTCGTTACACACCGCGTGCTCGGACAATGACAGGTGTTCATGAAACAACAACCGTGATTCGACGTCCGAGTGGTCAGCAAAAAATCGAAGAATTCCGGAGCACGGTGGAGAACCAAAATCACTTCGTAACTCTCAAGAAACAATGATATTTTGATTAAGAGCCACGTACCAGGATCGCCTCTAAATTATTAAGAAATGGAAGTGTAACTTCGTACCGAATGAAAAATGGACGACGCTGTTGAAGAATTTCGAAGAACCGAGAACGAAAACTGTAGAGAGCTAAGATCGAGGACGAACAACCAAAATTACTGTCAGTGTACATCACCTTGAGAATGCGAGCAAACACAAGTTCCTCGAAAATATTCCAAAGCACTTCGTGTATCAAATTTCAACCCATCGCATCATCTGTATTCATCAAGTGAAGTTGAGGAGGCATGTTGGATGCGAGAAGCTTTGGTATTTCAAGGTTGAGAGCAATGGGGGTCGCGTTTGGATTCGCCTCGTTCGCGTATTTCCTCGTGAAATTTCCTTGTTTTTTTTTTACGACGCGCGATCGTTCGGGGCGTGACGGTTATCCGGAATGTAAAATTTGGCGTCACAATACGTGGCAGATGACGTAAAATCGCGGTCGATGAAAACGTCGATATCATCTTTCTAGGCAGTACCTGGGACACCAGGCCGGTTTCTAAGTTTAGCGGCGAGTAGGCGGCTTTGAGCCGAGCAACACTTGAAAATATTTATATATTCGATGAGCGAAACGTATTTTTATCGGTTATTCGCCGCGATAGAGTGCAAACAACTCGCGTATCTCTTCCAGAAATTTGAGAAGAATTAGCCTCCACATTAAGGTAATTGACGATCGATTTATCGAGCTAATGTTTGACCGGATGGAGAAGTAGATGGGACTAAAAATAAACCGTGGAAAATTATTGTACGTGAATCGAAAATTCTACTCTCCTCGAGGGAGATTCGTAGATCGGGAAAAATTACGGTTACTCGAGGGGTAACGTAATTTTAAAAGCGTAATTGATAGATGCACGGTGAGAACAAACGGGAAAATACGCTGCTTACGTTGCACCCAGACCGTAAATTTTCATTATTACATCACGCGCGCTGGTACTTTTGGCACGAGGGATCGGTTTAATCATTTTACGTGTTACGGCCTTTTGTTCCTCCCAAAGAAAACACCAAACTGCACGAGATACGCAGTGGTTTTCATTTTACAAAGGCTTTCGGAACGTTCTAAATATGTATTCCTTTTGGAATTTTGCTCGTCGGATTTGAGAAACGAGCTTTGTAGCATGACGTTCGCTCGTTATTAATTTTAGTCCCGAGTGATCTGCAAGGTAGCACGTTGAGATTGTATAGTTGCAAAATAATCCGCGAAAATGTCAAGATACAGGTAATGGAAGCAGAGGTAAGCAGTTGTCGTTTGGCAAGCATAGCCACCAAGGATAAAGATAGAATCCGAAGTCTTGTACCGTGCTCTGCGGCATGTACAGCCTTTAATCCTTTCATTAGAAAAATCGAATCGGCTTAAAAATGCATTATCCATTATCCGTACATCGGCACGTGTAATTTCGCAAAACGGTAATTTCCAAATTAATTTATGAAGCAACGTACAATTACAATAGAAAGTAACACTAGTAAAACGTTATTTACACTATATGAAAAGAATAGTAGTAAATATTTAGTTCCAGAAGTTCCGTAATATTTTATTCTTCACACTGTTTGATTTATTTATAATTGGTTCGTTAAACTAATAAACTTCGACGCGCGTATTTTACGCAAACGTGAATTTTCAATATTATTACCAGCAGTATCCTTTAAATATCACTTTAAACGGGAATTCGCGGTTAGGTTTACAGAATTTAGAACGAATCTGGCACGGATTTATGCCCATCCTTATGTAATTATTTGCGAGTTGTTGACAGTCGGTTTCCATCGATTCCCAAAATAACAAATCCTTGGATCCACGATCAAGACTTTTTACCTTGCCTCGCCTCGCATTGCCAATTCGATTAAAAACATTCTCAATTTTTTTCCGTAAATTCTCGATTACGCTCGGCGAAAACGTGAGTATCTTTTTTTCGAAATAGTTGGTCAAAAATAGCCGAGTATCGCGCGCGGAGTTTCTAGACTAGACCAAGAACTTCCGACCCTCTCTCGTTGCTTCTAAATTAAAACAGTCGTTCGATTCGATAATTTCAAGCAAAAGTAACAGCGTCGAGTTCTCGTATCGGCTTATTGGATGATCGGGAATCATTGTGTCCCGCTGACGTTGCAACGTGTCAAACGTTGAACTTTCGGGCATACGTCACGCGCATCGAGGCGAAGTATTCTTCTGTTAACGGCATATCGTCGTGACGAAGGTTCATGACGCAACAGATCGCAGGTTCATCGGTTCGATCGCGCGTCTGCTCGATGCCGAGGAGGCCGAACGAGCCAGGAAACCGATGACGCAGACCAGTAACTTTACGTAACATTGACCTTCGTCGATCGTCACACGTTCGTCAGCACTTCGACCACATCATCGACCACTAAAGCGTCTAGAAACCTGGCCGTGCCGCAAAATTCGCGTCTTCTCGAGATCGATCGCAGAGAACCGAACGGGAATCCGAAAACCATCATCGATGCTTCGTCAAAAGTCGCGACGCGTACCAGCGAAACTGTTGATCTTTATTTATACAATTAACGCAAATAAACGAGTCCGGGGCGGGGGGTCAGGTGCATTCTAAAAAAGTTGTCGCACGACCGCCTGTTAAAAATAACGCGACAACAAATGACGATATCGTTGCGCGAATTTGTTTTGGAGCACGCCGCGATCAACAGCAGAAACGAGACACGCGCACCAATTTTAGGAAGCGGAGGAAACGTTGCACGTTTTATCTCGCGTTTTCGATCAATTTCCTTTGGTGAATCTGGAAACGAAAATGTACTGGCACAAACGATCGAACACTTGTATGCGACTCCACAGTCAAGATCTCAGTTTAAATAAACGCAGGAAGGAAGTTGGCGTAGGAGTTTCACTGTCACAATAATCCTAGCATACTCGGGCACGTGATCTCCCATTTTTTGTTCCAGATTCACCAAGAAAAAGAAAAAGGTTGACGAGAACCACTAATATAGGCATGTGAAAGAATCTCTGGCACTTTTAGGTTCACCAAAAGAAAGAATGTTGATCGAAATCGGTGTCTCCGCTATTACGACTTTAGACTGATATTTGCAATGAATTCCATTACGCGATACTCCGATTTGATCGAAATCAGCGACTCCGTTGCGACCTCTCCTTACTTAAAATAGGTACGAGAGAGAAATTGAGGAATTCTACGATCACAGTAGTCCTAGAACGTCCGTGCACTTCAAGATTCACCAAAAAAGGAAGGATAACGATCGACCCTGGAATCGATGAGCCCTTTCGGATCGCGAAAAAGGAAACACGATACTGGTCTGCATCTATGAAAACAATAAAGCAATAGGAAGAAAGCGTGCACAGAACGACGTGATTTCGTTCTCGTGTAACCGAGCGAAAAGTAACGACGACGGCGCAAGGTCAGCAACAGGGGAGCCTCGGTGGAGGAAGCAGGCAGAGGAGTTCCGGTGGGGCCTACTCACCCTGTAAGGCGACGGCTAGAAGGGCCAGGAAGAGGCCCACGAAGAACGCGGGTCTCAGCCGCGAGCCCGTCATCTCGTTTCACTAGGCACTACACGATGAGCCAGGGCTGGCAGCTCGTCTCACTCGATAGTCGCCTTCGACTCCAACTCGCCCGCGAGGAACTGGCATTGTCACTACCGCCAAACCTCGACAGACCGCCCCTCTACTTCTCACCCCACAGCCAGACGACCGCGCGCTATACTATTTTCTCCGGTTTTTCTTTTCTTTTCACCATCGGTTTTCGCGCCGTCGTCGGGACTCCGCGATTTTCCCGATCGACCGACTCTGGACGCCACCGAACGGACCTTCGAGTTCCAGCCAGATGAGTTCGTATTAAAATTAAACTACGGGAGGTTCGGAGAGATCGACGATCGTGAGAGGGGCGAGTCCAAGTGACTTTCAGAAGGTCGAAGACCAACTCGTTCTCGAGGATCTTCCATACCAAACGATCGTTCTTCTTCTTATGATCGGAATATCCAAGAAACTTAACTAACGGCCCTGTATTTGAGAAAAGATGGCTGCGGTATAATTATTTTAAGTTCGAACTAGGTGTATACATTTGTTTTCTGGTACCCCATACAGTAGAACCTCGCTTGTTGCACGAGGTTCGTTCGTCTAACTAACGAGTAAACTCGAGAACGCATAGGTGCCATAAGATCGCGTCTAAAAACGTTCCTTCGCTCGAGGATTCGAGAATCAGGTTTACGACGAATGTTCGAGGAACGTTTCGCTCTTGGCACTTAACATTGTGATCGCGAAGCAGATCGTCAGACGCGCGAGAAACGGTGCGAATTCGGGTCCCCGTGAGCATTTCTTTTATTCGAAACGCGGTGTGTCTGCAAATTCAGAATTCGAAGTTCGTCGGGCACGCGAGATCGTGGTCCGTGCCCGTCACTAAATCACCGAATCTTTATCTTCTACAATCCGAAGATACTGGCCGTAGTGTCGCAGTTTTAAAAATACCTCCTGGCGGCCCGGTTTTCTTGGGTTTGCAGGGTCTACTTGGCCGAGAGACCGCTGAGACATTGACTAGCGATCGCACATAGATCCTGCACACGTTTCGACCTAACGCAACGCGTCATCTTCAACCTCGTTTCCGTCGACCGTGCTCCTTTCGACTCTTCTTTTCGTTCACGACGAAAGTCGACCGTTCCTCTTCCGCTGTATCCACCTGACAAACGTACGATCGTTAAAAATTATTACAAGAATTTGCGGCCGCGTACGCGTGACTTACATTTAGAATAACAGTCGTAAATATTGATCGAAAGTCTCAGCCATTGGCCAATACAGGCCAATTCTGTGCATTGCTGTCAGTCGATTCCTAAAATACATCTGTGATACGGGGACAAGGTCGTCATGGGGATCAAAAGAGAAACGACTGAAAGGAATTTATATTTCGCGCGTCCCCCGAGGCACCGGGTTAATTGGGTCGTTCCACGACCGGAAACGCACCCTGTGCATCCTGCCCGTACGCTTTTACAGCAATATTATTAAAACAAACAAAAATATATTTACACTTTCTGTACGAGTGTAATAAATTTTGGCAACAGACTCGCCTTGTCTGATCTACGATTGCTGAATCTACTTAAATCTAAGTTCAAGATTAAACGAATGCACCAATTTATGAAATACGCGTATTACTCGCATTCCTGGCGATGTTCGGTCCGTTCTCGTTTGCAGAAATCCCGTTAATCGTTTCTAGATGCGCGGTCGTCGTATCGTAAGGGATATTCGAGATTGTTGCGCGCCGGAAATCGAAGAGCGGGCTGGAAATTGCGGGGGCGTTTTGGAGATTTCGCGGTAACGTAATATCAGGAAAATTCCAGCCGGGTCTCTTATTGCAACCGAACGTGGTTGCGAACCGCGTGGCAAAGAGAAGAGATTCGCGGCGAAATGCGTGCGCTCGGACAGAGAGGAGCGTCGGGACGACGGGCGCCTTTATATTTAGAAGCCCGGGTCGCCGCCGTATAAGGTGGTGGTCCCTCGTGCAAAAGTTCTCGCGATCGCTCGCTCTCTCCTTCGCTATCTCCCGTTCCTTCTTGCCCTTTCTTCTTATCTGTCCATTATTATCGCGCACTATACTCGATTGCCCCTTATCTGTCGCTGTATGGTACCTGTACCAACAATTAGCCATCTTGAAACGTCAGTATATTAATAATGTTATTTTAATTCAAAGTACACTTGTTTCTATCGATCACGATAGATCGAATTTTTTCGAACAGCCTCTTTTACACGAGATACCAATAGCGAAAGATTTATTCGTTCTAAGTTCGTTGACTTTGTCTATTTATGTGCCGCGAGCGGCACAAAATTTGATGGTACACGGTTGCACTATGGCGCGAAAGGTATTCCGACTCCCAATTGGTAGAACGCGAGTGAATCACCAATGTCAATCTACTTGTTCGAAATCTCTGGCAATTTTTACGCTGACAAGTGTACTTTTTGGAAGCCTCGCGAGAAGCTCTCTAGAAGGGCCATCTTCATTTGCCGGAACGTAAATTAAATTGTTTATAGGAAAGATTGCTTACACGACCAAAGAAAATATACACGTTTGACATTTTATGATGATAAAAGGATCGTTCTCGTCAATATTTTTATAAATAGAATGATATATTTCAATTAATACAATGATCACATTAACCATAAATAACAAACATCACGTTACATTCTCATTTTTGAGCAACTGAGATTACACGTTTCAGTTATTTATACGAACGATGCTGATTACTAATATCGCAATTGATAATTGACACCAATCACAAAACATTAAATTCGTAAATGAAAATAACAAGAGCAGGAAAAATGAAGATTCTACAAACGAAGTTTGCTGGCCAAATTGGCCGCTTCGCGATCTATAATAAGACCGTAATCGTATGAGGTCACAATGTATCTTGGACAGACCTGCTTCGTGTCATTATGATTTACTGTTTGGAGAATCCTCCCAATCTTGGTAAATTTCGGAACAATTTTCTGTCGAGAGAACTTTTCTTAATGCTGTTCTACGAGCACAAGAATAATAATTACTGTCTAATCGTGGTCGCAACCGTAATCGTAAATCGTGATACGTGTAATCTCAGCGCAACAAATGCGATCCAATTAACGTTTTGCCCGGCTCTGGTGCAAACGAAAATATTTTCGACCGTTGACTTTCATTTTCAGGCCCGAAAGATCGAGGAACACAAACGGAAAAAGGACCGCAAGACAAATGAAAAACTCGAACGCGATAAACTGAAAAAAGCGCAGAGAAACGCAAAAGCTATAGAAAGAATTTTTATTGATCAGTTTAGAGAATGCATTGTTGTCCCTCCTTCTCAAACCACAAAGGATTGTTTCAAATCCTTGGATGACGCAGACGTTTCAGAAATATATACAGGTACGTACAATCGGTTACATCATCATTCTAATATAGCGTTACAAAATCGATACAGTAGTAGTCAGAAAGTTGCCCGAAAGTATAAACTTTTCAAGCATCGAAGTGTTTTGATATTGAAAATCGTAATGTAGGATCGTCATGTAACGGGAGTTGTAGTTAGGTTCTATTCTAAACAGTGTTAGTATACGTAAGGGTTAAAGAAATAGCTTCTATCTCGACCTGCTTGTCCGCTCAACAATCCAACAGTCGATTTTCGTTTCAAGGATCCGGAAGTAATGGCTATGCTCAACGAAATCGATGTGAATCCAATGAGTTACAAGTATGGAAATCATCCGAAACTACTGGGGCTTATTGACACGGTAACTTGTAACCCTGAGGAACATGATGGCATGCCAGGTGGTATGCCTGGTTTCTCGGGTGCTGAAGGTGCATCACGACCGAGTGCTCCAAAGCCACAACCGCAGGACGACGATGGCCTCGGTTAAATGACTATGCTCGTTCGCGAAATTCCTTCTCCATTTATCCTCCTATAATAATACAGCGATCCAGGTCCCTTTGTACTAAAGCGATCTACGCTCAGAACTGCTCGAATTATAAATCTAGTTGAAATCTAGTTGGCTACTATTTATTCGAAATGAACTATATTCTGACGGGAATCAATTCCAGAATTATGCGAGAGCAATGTAACTATAGTAGTTCGATTACAGAGTATCGAAACGATGATCGTATTTTAAATATGAAGTATATCAATATTTGTTACTAAACAAACGTCCAATATTCCCGTGTACCAATAACGTTCTTCGCTATACTTGTCAGTTAACAAAGTAGTTTTACTACGTTCCAGCTCGATTCTTTTTAAAGATAATATTCATTGATTTCGAAGAGAAGGAATCATTCTGGTGTTTTTTTTATCTGTTCTTTTTTTTATTACTTTTTTACCCTAGAGTTCGTTTCTATTGAATTCTGTTTTTAATTTCGTTCCGTAAGTGTTAAACATATTTTCACTAATTACAGTCGACTGCTGCGTGATTAAACATTCGTCCGACAACGAAATATTTGATTGTTTTTTTTATTATTGTTATCTTTATTATTATTTTATATTATTTAGCTCTACACTTGCTACACGCTATCGCCTACGTTAAGCGTTTCACGCGACACTTTGTTCACTTTGTTCGAAGAAAAATAATACTCGATGCGTTGATTAAAAATGAATGCGTTCTAGCACGATACATAGAAAAATATACACGAGATTAGTTTTCAACGTGAAATGTACTGATAGATCTTCGCTGATCGATAAGAAGACAGCAGATCGAAATTGTACATACCTATAGAAGAGAAAAAGTATGCTTTTTGTGAAACATCATGAACAAACACAATGGAAAATATTCGCTAGACCGACAGTTTTCGTATTTTTATAAGTGCCCGTGAAAGACAATGAAATATAATCTCAGATGAACTCGGTCATTACGATACGTTACTGTTAAATCCATTATCATTATTGAAATATTTTTTAAACGGATTTTCTGTGAGTCGAGTACTCAACGTACGATATAGTCCTTCGAACATGCCTGTTCAAACGTAACTGTCATATTATATAGCGTGAATTCAATAAATACATAATACAGTTCTGTATAAATACTCAAACTTCTTATTTACCAGAACAATCGTAATAAATATATACAAAACGATACCAGGGATCGCGTACGTACGAATTCGAAAAACAAAGTGAGTCGCATCGTCGTGCATCGGTATTCGATTTTAAAACGTAACGCAACCTCGATGGCTCAAACAGTCAACGTACTATTTGCATACTGGACGACTTGCACAAATAAATAAATTCCTACGCATAAATCCTTACTAACGATAATATTGCACGTGAAATCAAAAGGTACTGCACTCGTAGGAGTAATCGTTACTCGCTTTGATATACAATGAAATTACCAGTCGGCTCGAAGAAACGATCGACTCGATTCGATGGGGGAAGACTCTACGAACGAGAGCCTCCGTTTAGTTTTGCATCAACTACCACACGGTGGCACGAATTATCCAAAACGTTTCGTTCGTTTCTGACCATTTATGTATATTATAGCGACCCAGGCGTGGCTACGTTCTTCTGATTTTGAGCATGTGCAAGTTCGGATGCCATGGCACTTTCCTGAAAGTCGACGCATTCGTCTCGTCAGGAGATTGAACCTCCTCTTTGCCGTTGGCTTCGATCGCCAAAGCGTCCGGCAATCTCAGCCCAGCAATACCCGTATCGAAGCTGAACATTCTACGATGTCGTTTCGCCTCTTGATTACCAGCGTTCCAATTTCTTGTACCCGGATCACTGACCACGCGACGGTGCTTCCTGTGATGACGATGATGATGATGATGGTGGTGATGGTGATGATGATGGCGATGACGATGCAGTTGTCTCCTGGACGACGACACTGCAGGCTCCAAACAATGCATCCCCGCCACGCGGAACAGAGGATTCGAGTCGAAGTATAACCGATTGTCCACGAAAGGAACGAAACGCACTGTATCCATTATCAACGAACTCTGACAGAACAGTCTCTTTGGGGTTCCCTGGATCGTGGAGGACCGTTCGTCCTGCCGCAGGTTGATCGTCACCTTTCTGCCGCGATACGAGCGGTACGACGTCGGCTGCTGTCTACGAACCAAATGAATCGTTTCATTCGTCGAAGTAACAAGGAAGTCTTGTCAAGTCAGTCCATGAGTTATTGCATAGTTTTGAAGATATCTTCAAGAATGGATTCAACGTAATCGGGACGAAGAAAATGCCAGAGATTAACACGAGTATTACCAAACATCCAAAAGGTCGTGATGAGTATAATATAATAGATATTTTACGTGATATCATGACAACGTAAATTTTATTACTTCACATAGTATTTTAACAATACACTGAGATGGTTCTTCGAACGAAGATGACTAAAACAGGGACCGATGGACTGACTTGACGTATAACAATGTGCAACGAACCTAGAGAAACATGGGTACGACGTTCTGTGTCGTCAGTTGAGCGGATGCTCTCCCCTTGGCATTCTATAGCACTTGTTCCACGCTTCCAGGAGCAACACGCAACTGTGAAACCGGTAGAAGATCAACAGAGGAAGACCGATCCTGGATATGACGCCCCACGCGAGCACCCCGAAGAATCTCAGCTGCAGCTCTTGCGAGATCCAGTTCTGCGTGATCACCGTGTCGAAGGCCCACAAGACAGAATTACTGAACAACAGGAAAGTGATCACCTGCCTGGCGGGTTTCGCTATTATTTGGAAACGAGTTATGCAGGATCGTTTCGACGCCTCTGCTATCAACGTGCTTTGCGCGAAACACTGGATCAGCTGCAATATGGACGCTGTGAGCAACATGATGTGTCTCGCGCGGGTCTCGTCGGGTTCATCCTCCAGTATGGCCAACGAACAGGCGGAAACCACCACCGTGAACACGGAGTAGAGTTGGACGCCAAAAAGGGCCACGTTCGACAATAAACTGTCCAACGCTGCAGGTGCTCTCGTCACCACGGACATTTGCCGGACTTGCATGAGCCCGCTGGCCGTCATCAAACTGCTCAGCGTCAGAATACTGATCAGAGTGCCGCACGTCAACCAGGACAACGTGGTCGACGGAAAGTGCTCGTCCTCTCTCACGACCAGGAATATCAGGATGACTACGATGCCTGCCACCATGCAGAGTATACCCAGGAACAAACCCTTGCTGGAACCATCGCAACCAACCTTGGTGTGACTCGTCAGATCCTTGCTACCGTGAAACTTTTGTTTGTGCGACAATCGATTGCGTCCTACGTTCTGACCCATCACAAAAGTCACTGCAGCAGCTATCAAACTAAAATTGAACAAGATTGTTAGCTTCAATCGTCATAGTGTTGGGATACACGGTTAAATAAATGCCTACCTGAATTGCACGATAAACGGGTAAAGGAATGGCATGCTCGATGTCCACAGCTGCCCAAGAGTATTCGTGTTCAGACATTCTTGGAGGGCAATCACCTGAGAGATTTGTTCGTTCGAAATAGGCTGGTACGGTTGAAAGACGCTTTTATCTGGCGAGGAATGATCTGCAGGAAAAAATGTACGCATTATTCTGTTATAGCATTATCATAGCCGGAGTGAAACTTGGTTCGAATCACTTCCCCCATCGTGGATCACGTCAGGCGTGACTTTTACTTTTACTTCGGCGCTGTTCTTAGATAGAACGTGTATATAAATTAAAAAAATCACTCGAGAACAAACCTCGTAAGTCCCTAGAGTGCCTTATCAAAGACTCTGGGAATCCACGAAGGTTCAACGGGGAAGCAGAATTGTGCAGACCTCGTTGAGCCAGGTGAACAAAGTACGTCCATTCCTGGGCGGAATCCCAGATTACCATTCGAATCCAAACTGCGATGTTCGTGGCGGCCAGATGGATAAATCCGAACCTCGCTGCTAAACCGAATCTTTCTACGAGAACCTACGATAGAAACGTAATCGATGTTCGATCGATTGCAACGATATTTAGCGAGAAGGGACGAAAGTTTATTGAACTCGCCTGCGAGTTGACGAAGAGAAAGTGCATCTGCAGAAACGTGAAGAGCCCGTGGAGAACTGGATGCACAAAGACGACGTCGCTCAAACATTCAGCGCCCTGCATCATCGAGTGCATCGCCATTTCCAGACCGTTGAAAACCAGGGTCGCCAAACCAAAGACTGTAAAAATTGAATGTTAACGCGAGTCTTTCTGTTTTGCAATTTGCAATTGCCCACCAGAGAGTCTCACTCTCGGGAGCAAGACTGTCTAATGGACACCAGACGTAAGGAACTTACGAAGTGCTCCAACCCGAATGTAGAAACTTGTGGGTGCTGTCCTGGATCGCGAGATGTGTGCACGCTTCAACGATCCAAACCTGGTTAAAGACGCGCCACCGAGTTCCGCGTCGTCAACGCCGGTAGCACCGGCACCGAGACTTCCACAGCTGTCCACCAACACCCATATGTAAATACTGATGATCACAGCTATGCTTCCCACGTACAGATACATCAGGAACACGCCCTGCAAAGTAATACAGGGAATCCAGGGTGCATCAAATACCAACGAATACACGGAGTGTTGACGCTGGAAGAGACTTTCCAAGGTTTAACGACTCTTGATACCTGCGGAGCACGCGTTCTCTCGCTGTGTTTGGAACATTGTCCTTCCACTGATAAGAAACGAACCAGTCTTGCTCCGAACGTCGAAAAGGAAACAACTGTTCCTTCGAGGTCAGTCGCGTTTTGGCAATATTTCGAAACTTGTACCGTAGAGTCTCTACAGCGGCTCTGAATTTAATAATTATTTCGTATCCAGTGTTATTTTTCCATACAGTGAATTCAAGTGTTCATAACGCGGAGTGATACGAGTTCACGAGTGCCTCATTATCACGGTAAGTTACCAAATTTTCAACCATCGCTCCGATCAATCCGGTATTCAAGTACATTTATATTGAAATCGACTTTTCTTGGATCGTATGTCTCAATTTCTTAATAAAGCTTAGATAGAATCATACCCCTGAAAGATGCGAAGAAACGGCGCGGAAATGTCTTGGCAAATTACAAAGGCACCAGCAGATTGACTCTATTAACGGATAAAATACGGTTTCAGGTTCATCGTAATTCTCGAGAAGTCATAACGTTCGAGTGATGCACAGCCCGACGAGTTCATCGTGCTCTGAAGCACGCTTGATGATGGTCCAGCCGGGTACAGAAATTGTACCTTCAATTCTCGTAGTTACTGTTACCGTAACCCGTCGGCATCTCGATTCAAACCGATCCATAATTTACTCGAAAAATAGACGCGGCGTACCTAGCTGGACTGAATCAAGCGTAATTACGAATGCCGTTCGATCCAAAAAGACCAGAGTACCACCAGCTGTTTGCTCTTCTGCCGTCGTCCTCAATTGAGCGACGATGATATCTCGCTACGTCGTTGATACAACACGCTGTGCTTCGAGGTACGAAGGTAATTACGCTCGCGACTATAAAACGGACGCTGGATGGATGAATTTTTAACGCGTCGTGTGCTGGATACGTAGACCAGCCTTCGAAAGTCTTGAAAAGTCTTGTCAAAAAACGATGGCAAATAAATCGCCGGGGAAAAAGATTATTTAAAATTTAGAAATTGCCCCAAGACTTCTAAATTACCGTGGTATCATAATTCGCGTGCGTTTCACATCCGGTAGCTTACATTACTGGAATCATATATTCTCGTAATAGAATATAAGTCTCATTTATCTTCATTTTCTTACAAATTTTCTTGTCTTATGCTATCTTTCTGTTTGTCTTGTTTATTAATGACTAACATTTACTCATGGTTCTCAGTTTGTCACGGCCATTTTTCCTTATTCGATAAAATAAATGTACTATTTTCTTATTAAGAAAGAACGTAAGGACGTGCCAGTTAATATAGAAATGTATTGCATGTTTTCGTAGTCAGAATGATTTTTATAATATCGTATTCGATGGTCAAGTAACAGCAACGTCGGACAGAAATGTGCTAACGGTTGTAGTTAAACGTGGACTTTATTGTAAATGTGCCTTTGGCGTACCGTTACGCTACCGTGACGACTGTAAAAAATGCTAGATAAAACGATCGTAAAGTCTTCGAACTGGATAAAAACTCGTGGAATTTTATATCTGTCTGCCAAACGCGTACGCACATGCTAAAGCTTATTTCAAAGGCTTTAACTTTATTTAAACCTTCGAAGATTGCGATAAAAAGATCGTAAGGATTTAGAAAATGGATAACAGGTCAGTATTCTCCACGTTTCTTAGGTAATCGATTGCATGAATTGTTGTATGAAGCTCCATTAGATGTTGTGATTTATGCATGACGGCGTCGTCCTATTTCAGCGAAGTAGCCAGTGGACAAACGATTTTCTAAAAGATGGATGGGTCTTGCAGGATATATTGCCTGGATTTTTAGTTTTAGGGTCGCTCGAAGACATTCATTTATTTAACCATCACTATCTGTGCTGAGAAGTATTTCTGTACCGTGTACGAGTAGATTACTAATCCCAAAAGATACCTTCAATAATTTTTGTTCGATCGTTGAACATACATTGCGTACGTCCTTCGAGGAAATTCGTGTAAAATCCACTTAACAATGACACGTTAAAACGAAAGTAACTAATGAATTATGCGCAATGGGTCATAAGTTACATTTGCTTTCGCTTTTCCAAACGAATGTGGCATTTTCATTCCTGTGGTTATCTAAAGGTCAGGCTGTCATGTATGAATGAATTACCTTTCCACAAGCCACAAGAATTATGGTTACACAAACATCAATCGATTTCCAAATTTACAACAAGGTCCGAGTTGCCAAGATTATCTTAAATTTTAAAATTACAGTTCGTAGCTTTCCTTTATCTCGCGTGAAAGCAGACATGAAGATAAATACAGCACATATTGCACAGTAATATGAAAGGTCAATCGGAGTCAGCAATACAAAGATACAAGAAGGATCTGGTACACGCTGGAAGCGGAGTTAAACGATGGACTCTCGTACGTAATAATTCTAAAACCTCGTTATATCCTCGTGTGACCTCCAGTACTATTGTATTATACAAGGTGCTTACTTGCAAACTGAGAAGAGGGACAGGCGTGTCCATGACTTCGGCCAAGCACAGAGCGATCATCAGCACCACGATCAGCTGGCCGTAAACGTTCGACAGGACGACCCATAATTGAGAACTATAACAAGCACCATAAAAACGTATCCTCAATTAAATTTGTACCACCTCTTTCAACTCGAAGGTAACTTATCTAATGTCCACCTGTTCGCACTTTTCCCGCGCGTACAAGAAAATAACAGAGAAAAACGCGTGCCATTACATGGAGAAACGGGAACCGACTTTAATTATTCCACTCTAGATCGTTCATAAATTATGCATGCATTTTAACACGTATTAGACGGGGTCACGTTGATTAACGCGTTTTGCTTATTAACCCCGATGATGGACCACGTTTATTTACACGCGTATTTTCTGTTATTAATTGAGATCGACAAATAAATTTCGATAAACGAAATGGACTGAATGTAAATTAAAATTATTGTAGATCTTTAGTCGTTACCGGCGTGATCTTGCTGTATTCGCATTCGTTATAAGTTCAAATGGACTTTTGAGTGGTACTGTATTGTAGGGTGAAAGAAACATTAATCCTAGATTAAGGGGAATGTATAGTAATAGTATGTGGACAGTGTCGAGTCACTACAGTCATGTCTGACTGTATACAGGGTGTTCGGACACCCCTGGGAAAAATTCTTTACCGAAAATACACTGTGTGACCAGAAATGTTTCTATAACTTGACTTTCGTCTTATCTTGGCCTCTAGAATCTCCCCTTAAAATTTTTTTAAACCCTGTATACATCTATTACTTTTTTAAGTTTACAGTTACATTGGGCATTAACTGTTCAAGCGGTTGGTGACCAATGATCCATGATCCATGGCAAGTGGATAGATATGCACGAACTTTCCATTCACCAAATTAAATGAGACGCCTCTCGTATATTCACGATATATGAATATGCTCGAAATGATCGTGTCTTACAAGGGTTCCGAGTGATCCAACAGGTCGTTCGAAGAGCGTGCCCTGGAAAGAATCTTGGAGACCAGGGACTTGGTGGGCGCCGCGGACCTGGTCGCGTCAGGTGGTGCAGTCTCGGTGTCCGTGTTCCTCTCACCCCTGTTAGGGGCACCTCCAGGTGCACCCTCCACGGTGCCCCCCGTTGTGCTTCCCGTTTCGTTCAGGCTGTCCTTGTCGTGTTGCTCATTGCTGGCTGTAACAATTTCGGATAAACGGTGAACGAGTTCGAATGGGTCTCTCATACCGGGCCCCCTAATTATCCACCACTCTCTTGGGCGTTTTAGGCCAGTGGACTGATTTACATACGTGTAACTTTCGCTGGAAGAATTCGCACGTCTGCCCGCCGCGGCGCGATTTAGATTCGATAATTCGTTATTTACAAACCGTAATTCATCGTCGTATGCCACGGATTAAAACAGTAATTGTCAGTTTTCGAATTCGTCGAGCGTTAAGCTATATAGATGACTGAGATAACTCTTAACGTGGGCGTACGATAATCTTAGAAACGTTATTACGCCGGTCCAGACGTCTAATGACCCTATAGAGCTTGAATCAAGCGTCCGAGTAGCTATAAAACAACGATACAGCAGACGTGTAATGTTTTCGAAAGTTCGTCTCACATAATTTCATAATTGAACATACGCGATGCTAATGATATGTCGTGTTCTTCATTTTTTTTTTTTTTTTCTTTTCATTTCATCTAGAACTACCGCGATGATGGGTGCATAGACTCTCCAGATGCGTTAAATCGCCGGTAATTAACGGACGCGCAGAGGCGTGTAATCAATTCCAGGGAAATTTCAACGTGGTTCTTGATGAACACAGATCTGATAGTTATAGCAGGCCTGCGTGTCATTTCTTCGTCGAACATTTTACTCGATTGGTCGACGATCGAGCACAGACGAGAGAAGATCAGAACAAACTGTATTCCATTAAAGATTAGTGTTAGCTCCGTTCCGAGTACATGAAAACTCCATTTATCCGAGCAAGTCGAGAATAGAACGGTAATGCAGACTCATTTGAGTATGCTAATATGTGTCAGTAATTACGAATGTGACCTAGGCCTAGATCTATAGATCTATAGAAAAAAATAATGAAACAACAAGCAAAACTGTATCGTTTTTAGTTGTTCCGAGTGCATCGATGTCGAAGACAATCACGTTTCGTAGAGAAACAATAATGAAATCGCTTATTGAATGTGTTCCAACGCGTAGTCTTCAGTGATAGCGGTCACGTAGTTCCGTCGCGCCATAAACACGTTGTGCCCTACTGTGCGCCAGATCTAGGCGAATCGAAATCGACGGTATAAAAGACGATCGTGGCACTAGACTATAAGTAATGATCCATGACAAATGGAGAGCTAGGATTGTCGAGCGACAACCGGTTTGAAACTGTTCAACGCGCTCCTCCGTACGTCGTGGTATATTCCGTTACTTCCCATGATACCATCTTCTTGCGCGCGTTCCATAGATCATCGGCACTTCCAACAAAATCAATAGTGTTATTGATGGACATCGACGAGCCGCCTTTATGGATTCGTGACCATTGAACGTCCGGCGCGTATGATTACTGAGGTCGAAGGTCGGGGGTCGATATTCGACGCTTATTACACGACGATCGTAACCATTAACGAAGTCGAAAGGCATTGTACGGGACGAGCGAACCGCGAAGCATGTGCTTGATAGATGCGACGCGATGATGAAGGGCCCACAACGGGGTACGAAACGAAAGAAAAATGCATCCAGGATGGCTTCAGGGGGGTCAAAGATGACGGATAAAGCTTTATTGTGCTCGTCGGCGAAGCAGGTTGCGTCGAATAGAAAAATTCGTGCTCGGCGATCGTGGGCAACTGATGGCTCTGAATTATGAGAAAATGATACACTCTCTGTACTTGAGTTACGAGGAAACGATACAATCGAGGGAACTTCTAACCGCTTGTTTTAAAATATGTTAAAGCATCTCAACGGTGCGAATCGTTTTCATCAGCGCACGTGCAGCCGCGTGAATTATTACGCGCGAAAAACGAACGCGCTTGATTTATTGTAATGAACGGCTTAATAAACTAAAGAACGGTTAAAACAGCGCTACGAAAAAATATAACTGTTTGAAAAAGAAACAGTAGTACAGGTAGCTATACGAAATGACTCTGAGTGATATTCACCGTTTAAGAGAAATTCATCTTTTCGCTCGTAAATTCCGTTGTCATGATACTAATAGCACTAATTAGTCGTTAGCTTATGTACGAAATCCTGACCAGTAATGGAATGACGAGTTTCTTAAGGGACATTTAGATAAGTGTACTGTTTTAGTTTGCTTAGTATTCAATTCGAATTTGTGTATATTTTAATAGCTTCAACCTCCTTTAGATTTTTGTTCGTTCTGCCAACTTTCAATACTTATATATCATCTTAGATCGATTACAGGTATTCCGTGCGGTCAAATGTGAAATTCGTGACCCAGCTAGATCGAAAATTAGGTTGATCTACCGTGAATTTAAAGGCTTGCGGTTTATCACGGAGTATAGATCATCGCTACAGAGTCGGAGTTGCAAAAAACGGTGAAACTCGTCCGCTGGTACGAAGATCCAAGGAATTCATCCTCCACGCCATACGTTCACGCAAGAACATAAAACCTCTGAATTTGTAGCTTGTACCGTGAACAACAGCTTCTTATAATTCAGATACTCGATGAGTATCTTCGTATCGAATACATTAATATATTATATAAAGTTGAATTTATATAACTTTCTATTTGAAAGAATTTCGAACGCCCCGAAATTTTGAAATTAACTACGAAACATGATAATCAAAACACAAAACACTGACACTTTCTTCTCTTTGATACACCGAGTATCAACAACATACACGCATCTTCCGACTATTGAATCAAAGATTAAGGATTATCGGTTTGCCACTTGTCACTATAATATCGCTGTTAAACGAGGAGCACAGAAATAAAAGAATAAAATAGTAAAATAAATGTATGATCTGTACGTACCACTAAACTTCGATATTAAACTCGAAGACGCGCATCGCCCCTCTGAATTGGCTTTGCTGACAAAAGTGAAGATAAATTTTTGATAATACGAAAGTGTAACGAGAGAGAAGTCGGAGTTATTATCGAGAAACTTTCGTTTAATTTTCGAGGGGGTAGGTGTTCGTCAACGCCGTATCTAGAAAAGTAATTATCCGGAAACTTCTGCACACCACTGTACCACTAAACTCAGACATTTACCTCGACGTTTCTGTCAAAGGAAGACTATCGTATTCGCGTGTGCACTCGAGTCACCGTTCATGGCGAGCGTTCGAGAGTCTTTTTGCAGCGAAGTGAAAGACAACCATCCGTTTGCAGTTTTCACGGAAGAGCAGGGAGCAAGGGAGAACTGCTCCAGACACTAACACGAAACGGAATGGCTGGGTAACCCAGAACCGTGCAGCGAAGAAGATCGACTGATCTGGAAAGACAAACGGTGGTGGTAGCCACTATGATGAGGACAACGATTATGTCGATGATGATGATGATGATGATGATGATGATGATGATGATCGGAAAAGACGACGACGATGATGATGTCGTTTCTCGTAGCCTCGTTTTCAACCGTCGAACGACAGAAACGATCGTTGAACACGTGCCGCTTAGCTCGCGTTGCTTTTATTTTCGCGCAACATTGCTCGCCAGATTGGAAACAACGCCGGAGACAGAATTATTTTACGGAATTGGAAAACGACCTAGATGCGCCTTGACAGAATTCGAATTGAATAGTCTCGATCGAATAAAGCGCCAGTCCTTTCTGTTTAGTCGGAAATGTTTTACCGTGATGAATGGTTCCATCGTGCTCCTCTTCGTACATAACTGAAACAGTACCGGGGAACTCGATGTTCTGTGAAATTGAAAAATTACCTAGGCCTGATAAAATTGTAATCAAGAAGATGGTACCCACGTGCCTTCTGCTGAAACAATCCTTTTATCCGGATCGAGTTCAATCGTAAGATTATTTTGAGAAAACGCGACTCTAATAACACCGCAGGATTTTACAAAAGTGCACGCCAAAATGCACCGCGCGCGGCTGGCCAAGTTAATTGCAACCCCGAGTTTTATACGTTAATGTGTTAATTGCTCGCCTCTTAGGCCGCGGTAAGGTAATAGGATGACTTATTATCGCATAATTTGCAGTTCGAAGCACGCTATGAGAACGGTGAGACGAACGAAGAGAAAAGTACATTGCAACCACCTGTTGAATGAATTATCGACGCTGTCTATGGTTGGAAGTGTGCAATATCCGTCTATTCGAATTTTTCAGAGGACTAGCCAACGTTGGCTATGATTTCGCATTAGTGATTCCACCATCAGGCTGTTAGAGGGTCCAGGAACTTGATTAGAGGAAACTCCGACGAACCATACCTTTTACGAATCGAAAGGTTGTAATGTTAATCACGAAGTAGCGACCTTAATTTGAAACGATTAACGCCTTGGGCATTACAAGCGTTCAAACTAAAAATCTTCCTCTAGTTAATATACATCTGTGGTAGAATCTATGGGTAGCAATGTTGAATCTCTCAGAACTTTGAGAGATTGCTATTAGCAAACTAGTAATAAAGATATGTAATAGATAATATTCTTCTCGATAATTCTAACGAACTTTTAACCGGTTCCGACCAGTTAGAAAGCCGCGGGATCGACGGAAAATGGATAATACCTTACCACCATCAATAATTGCAAACACCAACACAGGCATAGCTAATGAATAATCGACAGACCCGTTAAGACCTTTCAGAATCGATTCTCTCGAAAGTGAAGTCTCGTACGAAAACATTTTCAATTGATTTTTCCAATGAAAGTTCGAAAGTTATACAAGTCGCATAGTTTCTGGATTGGAACCACCGTGTGCCGGTCACCGGTGACCACCGTGGCAGTCAATGCGTTGATAAAAATCTTATCTGGCCGAATTACGTGTTTCCCGAGAAGCTGATTGCGGTAACATCCCTGCATCGTTGAATACTTATTTTTTTTTTTTCTTTTTCTTTATTCGGAGTTCACCCGTGCGAGACTAATCGACTCATTTTACGGCGCATAAAACTGAACAGATCCGTTACCAACCGAGAAGAATGATGAACGTCTAATTTGATACGCCTCTAATTAAAACGTTTTCCTTGCTCGGGAACGAGAAGCGCGAAACGAAAACGTAGCGCCGTCAGAGACACGGCTATCGGCGTACTTGTGACGCGTGAAATCGTCCCCGAAATTCGTTTTCAGCGGTCAACCGGTTTTCTTGGAATACGAAAGCGGTACCCCCATCCTTTCTTTCGGTCGGGGAAAAATTCATGAAAGTTTGAATGAGTAAAACGACAACGACTCCCGCTCTTCGCGACGCCACGAATCTGCTTTCACGCGATCCGCGTACACCGCACACGTACACGTACTTACAGTGGTCAGTCAGAATACATTTTCCAAACGAAACATTACCCTTTTCCACGGGAAACAATATTTTCCGTTCCTTGCTTTCACACTTTTACTGTGTCCAAGCGCGTCGCGACGCGTTGTTTCGTCCAAAGGTACATAAAATCATTATTACACTAAAATTTTCGTAAATTGGAATCTCCCAATTGCTGTATTAACGAAAGAAAACATCATATTCATCTTAGCAACACTTTCCCTCGCGGTAGCAATATTCTCTTCGCTTCTTGCGTTACGTTGGCGCGTTGGATTGGAAAGATAGCTCTCATTGGAGAACCCTAGACTTAATTTCTGTAGACGGTTCAGAAGTAACCAGGAAACAACGTGTAAAATACGTGATATTTTCTGGAACTTCCATTTTAAAAACCTGTGAGCACAGTTAGAAAATCCATAATTTAATCCTGGATGAAAGGGCACGTTAAATGTTATGTTATCTAACCGACTTAGAGTTTATTCAAAGCGTGTGCGACCGGTGATCGTGCACCATATGGGATGCTGAATCCAGGAAAATCATCCATAACATTTATGACGATGCTAAACGGTCGTTCAAATGGGATTTTACAGTATGTTTATAGTGTATTGCGTGGCGTAAACGCCAAGCATTAAATTGCGTTTAAATCGCCAATTAACGACTAGGAAACGCGCGGCATTCGCAGCATTTAACGCGCTGTATCCAAGTATGTCCTCTCCGGAATCTGCCGATAAACTTGTTCGATGGGTATCTATTTTCATAGCAAGGGTATTGCGTGTTCTTTGTCACTCCTCGAAAACGGTACGTAATATTACTTCACGCGAATTAGGTGTGTTAGTAACGGCAACCAACGTTAACTTCTTCAACGGCCTCGCGGATGACAATCGTTATCCGGCTGAAATCTTTGCAAAAGAAGAAACACGAATATTATCTTCTAATTTACGCGTGACAAATTTGTTCGTTCTAGATTTCTTAGAATAAATGATTCTCGTTTCTTCGTTCGTTGAATCTCCTCACTCTTATTTGCGAGCCCCGATCAATATACTTTTAACGGATGAAAAAGTAAAATACGAATTCATTTCGCGGGGCTGAAAATAATATTTGGATTTCGCCTGATTTTCGCGAAGAAGCTCCGCAAAGTGAAATTTTCAACGAGAAAACACTCGTAAAAATGACGTTCTTACGCGCGACTAATAACGTTTTTCATCTTTATGGCCACTCATGCACATACGTAATTATGCCTGTTGTACTCGAAACCAATAGACGGTCATCGCGTGCCAGCAAAAGTGGATAACTGTACCGAAGAAGCCAGTTACAGAAGCTGCTGGTATGAGACCACGAGATTCGTGTATTCGTCTAACGACTCTAAGTCAGTAATGTGTAGCAACGGCAGAGCTGTCAGGAATTCTTAACGGTGGGCACCATGTGTTGGACAGATCGGTATACCATTCGTGATTAACGATCGCTCTAATAATATCATAGAAACGGAGTCAGAAGTGGAACGAGAAAGTAAAGGGTTCACGGTGACAACGAGCATCGTTCGAACGATAATTCTTTCTCGCTTCTACAAGGTTATTTCAAGGACAACGTTTACTAATATAATAATTCTTCGTTAGTCCGAGCAAGTGGAATTTATAGAGAAAAGTATTATACAGTTTTTGCAAACTTTTATCTTAGCATAGTTTGTATATCGTTGAAGTACACAGGCGATACGAAGGACGAGAAGCCTTTTCTCCACTTTCTTTTCCATGAAACGAAATGCACGGTGTTCGAGTTTTAGCTTTACGCCATTAGCAACGTCATTACGCGGAAAGAACATTTGCTTGTCATGCATCATCGTCGTGACAGCGACCTGAATACCTGGAAATATTTGAACTTTTCAGAATATCGAAGGTATCGAATGGACCGTGAGATCCATTTATAAATAAGAGATTTTCTATGATTAATTAAATATCAAATTCAGACATGATTTTCCTTCGAGTATGAAAGTCATAAAATCGCTCGCTTGGAAAAGTATCTCTGGAGAAACAGTTATTCCATGAGGACATTAAAAAGCCTTATAAAAATGCAGCTCTCTCGTTCAAAACACCGCTTCTTATCTGATCTCGGGAAATCATCGTTCCTTCGGTGTATCTCAATAAAGAAAGTTCAAATACAAAGTCGAAGGAAAAGTATTTTGATCTTATGTTCTTTGAAGCGAAAAACGTTCTTCGTTTATAATACTGCCGGTCGTGAGTATTAGGACACTCGTGAAGTCGAACAATAATCTTTCTCGAGTCATTTTAAAGGCTTAACCTTCTACTTTCACATTCCTGTGTCGAATTTCCTCGACGATCCTTTTACGCTTGCCAATGAGAAAGCGAAGACGATATTATCCGAACAAATGCTTCAAATTCGAACAGTTCCCGAACGATTTTGTACTTGCACCTTCTCTAATTCGGAAACTCGTCGTTGGAATTCGTTGGACCTAGGAAGTCGTTAAGTCTTCTATCAAAGATTAGCGGCACTGAATTTGTACGTTTACGCTATAAAGCGGAAAAACGAGATGGGGGGCGCAAAAACAGCGAAAGTCGAGGTAGCTATCTATTCATTACCGCAGCCTGCTACGATAAAAAGTAATAGTACTGTGAGATCCATGAGAGCTGTTCGACGTATCAACAATATGCGATAAAAACGCGAACGTTCGTGTTTGCAAAAAGTATGCAGCGGAACTTTAGAGTAATAACTAAGATTTTGCCAAATGTAGAACGGTACTTTATCGTTTTCTAACCCTTTGATCTGAATCTCGAAGAACGAAGACTATCTAGCGCCAGACAGACGGAATACCGTTAGACAATGGCGTGAATTAGATATTAGCATCATCGAGTACGCGATCCCGACGAATATTGGTCAGACTAATAAAGACACCTCGCACGTATTCAGACACTGACCAGTGCACGTGTGCCACGTAGTATCTACCGCTAGCCGAGTACTTTTCGTCGGGCGATACCGTACGGCAGCGAACGAAGCCTGATGCATACAAATTCTCGACGTCTTAATAAATGAAACCGTGCCATGTTCAAAGTGTTATACCGTTTTACGGGAGCAGCGTTCTTATCGTACGACAGTCACACCGCAAATACCTACGCAAGTACATCCTTCATGCTAGATATCGTGACAAGGATCTCGTGGTATCCCTTCACCGAAAGCGTCGACGTTCGAACGACTCTATTAGCGGAACAGAATCAATCTCACCCTTCTTGTCCTTCAGCGACGACGTGGACGCGTTGGAGACTTGATCGGGAACGTCCACCGCCCTTTCCTCCTTCCCGGACACGACGCCGCTCATGTTTCCCTCGAACTCGTCCACGATCGTCTTGGACACCTCGTCGCACCGATTGTACTCGATCGTCGTCTCGGTGTTCTCCGTCTGCATCGCGAAATCCTCGAGGCCGGGTATATCGCGAATGTCGGGCACCAGGGTCTCCTCGTCTTCCTCCCTTATCCTCCATTTTGCTCTCTGATGGTGCTCGGTGGCGTTTTGATCGAGCTCGGCAATTTCACTGACGGAATCGACCACCTCCTCGACCAGCTCCTCCTCCTGGAGCATGTACTCCCGTCTTTCGTTGGGATTCTGATAGACTCTGTAGGGTCCTACCAGACCAACGATTCCTCGCGGCACCGAGACGGGCCTCTTCCAATCAGCTTGCAGCTGATCGAACCCTACCGCGTGGCTCGCCTGCATTTCACCGAGATTGAACAGACGTCGCGGTTTCGGTAGCTGCTTGGACGCTATCTGCAACCAACGTTTCAGTTCCTCCTGTCGCGAACGCACCTCCGGCTGTATTTGCCTGGCTTCGTTGATCGACAGCTCCTCGATCGGTTGCAGTTTCCTCTCCGGTACGATCGTTTCCGGCAACTGTACCTTTTTCGGTTTCCTCACCACGCTGTAAAGCGGATCCTCGTCCGCGGAGTCCTGCGACGTAGTTTTGTTCTCGGTCGGTAGCCAGACGTAAGGTAATTCCCTTTGCACGTCTCGTGGTACGTCCCCGTCGTTCCTCCACGGTTTTTCACTTTTCACCGCGCTGATCACCACCACCTTGCTCCTGACAACCGTCGGCACACGACCCGTCGCGGTCTCGTTGCTGTCAAGAACGCTGTAGATCGGCTCGCGAGTCGCGGCTTGGATCCATTTGGGTCTGTTCCTCGGCTTCGTCGAGCACCTGAGCTTCTCGGGATCGATCGTGGCTGTTTTACGTCCTGCGTTCCCCAGGGGAATGCCCGTCAGCTCCGCGACCATCGTGTTCGGGGTTCTGGGCGATCAAATTGTTCACCGGATGTCACGCTCAGATCGTGACGAACATATTAGAAGACCCGATCTCGAAGATCGAAATACCTTTGGGTGCGACTCGGACGTGTTAGCGTTCGAGGAACATCGAGAATTAGTAATTCTCGATCGGGGAATTCCTCCGAAAGCCTACTATAAACAAAGTTTTTGGCAATCACTTGTACACTAAATGAACAAAACGGACGAATAATTTTTAATCGCCTCGCGATCGATCCAAGGATCAGGTGAGACGAAAACTTGTACCACGCTCCGCCACTTTCCGACTAAATGGTATTTTGTAACTTGCCTCAACGAGTGCACCCGATCGGCCACAAAAGGTAAATGTCGTTCGTTTCCTGGCTTTAGTTTTACGAGAAACAATTCCCGTCGACGTGGAGGTGGCTGGAGGTCGATCGTATGGATCTAGCTCTCGTTCGTGACCAGGATGACGAAAAAGATTTCACATCCTCCGTGGCAACGACGGCTTTTACATTTTCTTTCGTGCGGACCCGTCGTGATTTTCCATAAGATACCTCCTGCGGTGCAACGCCTTTGTGGAGAAAAAAATGCATGCATCGCGCAACGTTTATGCGTTCATAATAACTTCTCACGTTCAAGAACGGATTCGTTCTTCGAGAAAACTTAGCATGCAACGATAACGCGGAGGCAAATATCAACGATATCTGATCTTCTCACTGTACGAATTGCTTTTATTACGTTAACACGTACGGTTAACATCGTTTCTCTGCCCGCTGAATAATTCACACGCTTAATGTTAATTTCGGAAATATAGTTTCGGAAATCACACATACAATGGACTGTTACGTCCGACGTTATTGTATGCAATTCTCGCAGATACTTATGTCATTCTGCTGCACCAATTATAATTAACGTCATGCAAGTTGCGATAATTGAATTTCTATTCAATTATATAATTAGATGAGAACATTCTTACGGTTTCGTGAAAGTTTCTCTCTGAACAACGCTCTGAGATTTTTGTAATTTATACTTTTAATGTTATAATGTACACATGTGTCGTGTCATCTCTTGAAAAATGTCATCGGTGTTAAGACAAATAACTTTTAAAAATATGATATTTTGCCCATACTTTGAACTTCGACGCCCAACCCCAAGACACAATATCGTCTCATTTCCAGTCAAGGTATCGCATAACATATGCATTGGAAGGACCAACTGTTGGCATTGCATATTACAAAGGCCCGTTAGCTTTCTACGGAAACCATCTTAAAATAGAAAGACGGCCTTTTCACGCGAGCACCGTACGTCTTCGACTAGCCGTGGTTTCGAGACCCTTTATTCTCCTCATAGAAGCGAAACTGCTTGGGAGAAGAAACGTGAATCTCCAACAGGTGCTAGAGGTCGAAGCATTTCTGCTCGATAATCGCTGGCTATACCGATGTTCCAACGGCAAATTCTTCCACGCTTAGCATTAGGCGAGCGTAAGTATACTACGCTCGGCGCGTAAATAGCAGGACAGTAGTGTACCGCTACAAAAATTGGTAAACGTTGGCCTTTGTAGAAACTCGCGTCGTCATCGCGACGTGAGCTCGTAGAAGGTGTCCGGCAAATCGTGTCAGGGTGTCCAGTAAATCGTGGTATAGCGGTTCGCGAAAGAGGAAATCGCCTGAGAAGCGAACGAAAAAATATAATGCCTAAAAACTACAGCGAATTTGTAAGAACAGCGGAACGAAATCGAACGACCGACCGTGTTTTAACGTTTTTACGATTTACAGTCAACAATGTTCCTTCGAAGCGTTCGTAGACAGCTATTCGAATGCGACTCGAAGCGGTTGAAGTCAGTATTCTTTCGACAATGAAAATGAGAAGAGCTGTCTCGAAGAGCGTTTCCTGTAACTTGTTACTGTTACATCGAGCCTGAAGTGAAAGCCTGCGCGAACGATGGTTGGAATACTTTATTTGCGTTAAAATTGTTTGACGGAAAACCAGCTAGTATCGGAACAATAGTGTCGTGTTCCATCCTACATTTTATTCTGTCGTTTAAATTTTCGTTGTACGTTTCGCGAATACAACGGATACGTGATTTCAGTGTACGAAGAATTATTAAATGCAAGGTAAACATACATTGAAGTCCATGGACGATACGAGGATTTAAATAGTGCACTTCGAAAATTAACTTTTAATATCTCGAAAATCAATGATCAAATACACCGTATATCGCACGTTTTCTCATATCGTATCGCGCTGAAATTTTTTGCACGCGGATTTTTAATAAAGTTGTTCAAACTCAAGGGCGTGTAATTTAATTAAAATTGTGATTTAATCGCGTCGCATGTCTGTTGAAATCGCAGCGTGACGGCGCGTCTAGATCTGCTCTGTTAAAGCCGGTAATTGTTATTCTCGTTTTCTATTTGATAACAAAGCTTTTTTAGATCCGACTCTCGACGTACAATTTCTCTGTTTCTGCCATTGTCTTGAGGGGATATTCTACCGTCAAGCGCGTATTTTTAGATCCTTTATCGTTTTTTTTTTTTTTGACAAAATGCTGTACGACCTTTTTTACCGAAATCGAGGATAAGAAACGATCGACTCTACGTGTTTTTCATTTTAGTTCTGCCCACAACAGGTGAAACCTACGCGATCGAGGATAGTGCAGTACTTAGGAAGACACGCCGTTCTGTCTACATATCTTAGAAATTGAACATCAAAAGACTTTCAGAATGTTCCGCTAAATGCAAACTCTTGCCTGGTTATAAAAGTCAACGACTGAAAGAGCAATTTTTTCAGTGATCGTGACTCGAAGAACGAAAGCATTTTCGTAATATAATCGCGTTTTTAGCGCTTCGAACTCGACGGTAACACCATCGCCCAGGCATTGAAATCACCGACGAAAGGACAGCGGTAGTGCTAACACTGCAATATAATTAGAGAAAGTGTAGTATATTTGGGATACCAAAGTATCTAAAAAACTACCAACATTATCTAATTCGTAATACAACAAATAACAGGTGAGAATTACCTGTTAATCAATGACATTTGCGGCACAATCTGCAGAGAAGTAAAAGAACGTCAATTTACAAGTTCTTCGGCAAGTATTCAATTGTTGCAATCATAGTTAATGTATGCAGAAACTTTACAGCAAATTCAATCTACTTATTTGCATATTAATTCTATAGTTTCGTGCCAATTTTACGATCATTTCGATAATACACAATCCCCTTTCGATATTAGCGATCGCAATTATTTCATTTATATTGCATAGTACACGTGGAGTACGGTGATTATATTTGTACGTGTCCTTTTTCAACTTGGCCAACGAGAAATTCACTTCCACGTATCGAACGACGAGGAACGAACGAGTGTTTCGGTACATTGATTTGACAAAGCCCATCGATCGCGCACGAGTGAACAGAAATTCTGAAAACAAGAGCTGAAAAGAAGCAACCGTGAGCAGACGCCGTATAATGAACAGAATTCACTCTAGCCCGGTCATTTTCACTTCCGTGGAAAAGAAAAGGGAAAGTACGCGTCGTTTCAGAACAAGAAACCGTGCTTTACCAAACGTGTACAACGGTCAGAAAAAAAAAACACGTGATCGTTTGTTCAAACACGCTTTAAAGCAAATAATTCTCATTAGATAGCTAGGAACATTTGAGTTTTATTGTTTCCTGGGGATCTAACACCTAGAATAATTAACAAAATGATTGGAATCTCACTTGACTTTCCGGAGTTGCATTCCTGGATAGGTTGAAGGGTTCGGGGCATCGTAAAATCAGACTAGTTGCTTTTTCACACGACGGAATGACAGTCCACCGGCACTGTTGCTTACGGAGCGTGTCATAAAGACGCTAAAATTTATTTAAGTTCAACTTATCGCGTAGATCACTCGATCCCTGGCCCAAACGAATACTGGCGAACGGCGGTCACATCTTCCTCGAAATTCTGCTTGAAGAGTTCCACGAATTTTTGCGTAAACTTTTAAATTTTACGATCGTGCACTATGTTCTCTGATTCTAAACGCGACATAGAGTTTTAGTCGCTAAATGTAAATCGCGGAGAAACGTCAAATCGGTGCACACCACCGACGCACGTGAACTGGCCATACAGTCGATCCGGAATCACGTGCAAACTGGTTCGCGGTGGAACGACCTCCAAAAGCGCGACTTCCAATTCCTGGATCACGGATGGCTGACCTTCGAAAATATGGCGGCACTCGTGGACGCTCCGTGACCACGAGTGTCGACTACACTGGACTACGGTGCTAAGATGAACCAAGTAAACCCAGAGCTTAGTTCTAGGTAGGAGGAGCGTACGTACACTTGGTTTCAATCTTCCTCGATCCATTCTCTCCTCAACTTCAGAAAGAAAGAGAGAGTACGCGCGGTCTGTGTGTGTGTCCATCTCATAGAACTCTCCTCTGGATGTGTCCTCCTTTTACTCAAGGGTAAGATAAGGAAGAAGGGACTGACAGCGCAAGAGAGAAAGTTGTAGAAATGATTAAAATACAACCGCGTGCATTTCAGACGCGAGCACCACTTTCGTTTCAATTAAAATTTGGAATTCCGTTCTTCCTTCGAAAATAAAACGACTCGCACTAGAAGTTGCTTATAAATCTTAGAATTTTATTGACAAGTTACATTATGTAAATAATATTCGTTACGCAGCTGGTCCAGAAAAACTGTAAATACATTTTATAAAGCTTACTTATAATATTGCTGTAAATCTGAAGTATAGTAACAGTGAGTGTGATTCGTAAGGCGAAGGCTACATTGTACAATCTACTGCCGTATTTTTGTTACTGCCAATCATGTTTATTTAATAAATCAACATACTTTCATTATGTTCAGCGAATTGCTATCCGGTATTTGTGAAGTGCAGATAAAGATATCTATACATTCGAAACATCGATCATACAAGACGGGATTAAATTAAATAGTTGAACATATGCGAAAACTTAATTATTGATATCAAAGATAAGCTTTTGTATTCTAAGATCAGTCTTATTTATCCCTAATCTTGTAGTGTTTAATGTTAATTTTCAAATTAAATATTTTGCAAGAAATCATTAAAGTGTCTTTACTAAAGATGCATTTTCAAAAGGCATATTTCGTCATAAACCGGCCAAATTTTCGTTATCACTTTTTCTTAGAGCCAAAACCTGAGAAACCCATTATCGCGGCCATTTCATCGGAAGGTCCTCCATTATCTTCATTGGCTTCTTCGATTTTTCTCTTTTTATCTTTTCTTTTTTCTTTTCTGTATTCCTTAATCTTTTCCTCCTGTGAATAATAAAAATAAATTTATTAAAAAATCGAATAATACATAATAACATATATCCACAAGAGGAAACATACCTCTTCCTTTAATTCTTTTACTCTTTGTTCCAAATCATAATCTTTCTTTTTCTCTTCTAATTTCTTCTTATTCATTGCAAAACGGGCTTTAACTTGATCCAACGTAGAACGTTCTATTTTCATTGACATACCCAAGTTACGCTGATCTAAAATACAACATAATGCAATTACAATGACTTGAATATTGTTGAAGTATTTCATCTTGTACAACATTTAACAAAATGTGAATCAAATATTACGTTTTGTTCCATTGATGTGGTCTAAGAAATTAATGGAATCCTTCACAACACAATCGCAAACATTGCAATAGTATCTGAAAATATAATCCTATATTATTTCAATTCATAGGCTCGTATTGCTTGTTTGAAAAATTTTGTATACCTACCCTCCGGTCTGAGAAGATGGTGTATTTTTGTTAATAACAACACTTTTCCCTAATTTAGACTCAAGATCAACTTTATAATCTCGTTGTTTAAGCAATTCCCTTTTTACAGCTGGTTGTTTTGGAATTCCCAGCTCCTCTTCAGCGATCTCATCCTGGAGACGCTGAAGCGCTATTCTTTCGTATTCTTCTCTGTTCCATTTTCGTCTATGATCGTCAGGCCGCTAGATATTACATATATTAGATCATTTAAATTAATTAATCAGGAAAAAAACATTACGTTAATGATTTGTTAACAAGTGTTGAAAATGAAAAGTAACATAAAATTGTATAAAACAAAACATCTGTTCTACTTATTTTATTTATGATTCTATATTAACGTATAATGTATTATTTACTATCATTATTATTTATATTTAAAATGTAGTGCATTTAAAGTTTTTAGTTTAGTGAGACGTGAGGTTAGAGAATGTGTCAAATAATATTTTGAAAGTCATTGCCTTGTTCATTGTAATAATAGCAATAGATATACAGATTTGTTATGAAAATTCGTTCAGCTGCAACTCATTGACACCCTTACCATAGACATTGTCGAAATTTCAAGTTTCAATCAAGTCTACTACGCATAAGAAAATAGAATACTTTCCCCCACTTCTTTCGTATATAGAAAGCATACTCCCTATAACAGTAACGTATCGGCAAGAAGTTATTAACATAATTAATTTTTAATTCTATTCTCTGTTATTATTTACAAATTATTTCTGCAATAAAGGACAACATGCGTAAAATAAAAATTTGCATGTAACCTTCAAAATGTAAAATACTTTGGTAGAACTGTGGAAAGTACAATTGGTATAAAATATTTTCCAAAATAATTTTATTTGCGAAAATACTTATACAATAATTTTTGTACAATAAAATTAAAATTTGTACATACATGTGGCATTTCCCTGTTACTTTTAAATTGATATCTAGTAATTCACGATTACACAATATTTACAATACTGTATCTCTTACAATAAAAATCAATCTGCTTACAACAGAATCATATTTATGTACATATTAAAATAAAATTTTAGGTTTCGTTTTTCTTAAACTTAGAACCTTACTAAAACATTTGGTAATTTTGCAATTTCTGAAGCACACTTAATAACATAATTAAATTCCCTTGCAACGTTTTGTTGTTTTCTTGATTACTCATGCTTATTAGAAATCCTATACCATAAATATATATTACTTTTGTCACAAAAATACAATAATTGTCATTCGTAGATTTCATAAATCTAACATCGACATAACACATTACATAAATTAAAAATTTGTCTCCATGTAACAATTACATAAATATTGAGCTTATATGTTTACAATATAGACGCACATAAACAGACACAAAATTTTATACCGCTATTATCACGACTTCCTTCTAATAAAACTCAACAAGCAAATATAGTATTATATACTACTAAATCCAATGGCACTTTGGCTGGTAGCGTAACTCCAAGTCTCGTTACCATGAAAGATGCTACTTTACAACCATACTCTAAGCAACGTTGCGGTTTCCATTGAACTAAAACACCTGCTAAAAAACCAGCTACCAAAGAATCTCCAGCGCCTGTTGTATCTATAACAGGAGCCTTTGGTTTAATTGGTTGCACCTAAATAGGATATAATACAACTTTTATTTAATTCTTAAACGTATTAAATTATTATTTTTAACATACCTGAACCGATTCCCCCTTCCCCCAAACTGTAATAGCTGGAGCAGATTCACCTTGACTCATAACAAATATTCCGCCGTGACGTAACCAATCTTTATTAGTTGTACTAGAAGCATTAACTGTAATTCTTTTTAAGCTATTTAGTAAGAATGGTATATCAGTTACATCATCATATCTAATGTTTAACGATTGAGCCAGAGCTTTCATTTCTCTCGCATTGCCAAATACAATATTTGCATGGCCAACCATTTCACAAATTGCTGCATGATGATCCTGTAAAAATTAACATGATATTGTTATTGGTGTTATACAAATACATTAATGAATTTAAAATATAAAATTTTTGTATACATTGAATATATATAGTCCATTAAGATTAAAGGCTATAATTATATTTTTTTCTTCTGCTAATCTGACAAGTTCCTTTGCTACAGGAAAACTGTGCGTTATGAAAAATCCTTCGATATAAATTATTTTTACTGTATCAAATGATAAATTGGTTTTCTTAAAATCATCTAAAGTATATACACCAGCTGCACCTATATTAGCAACAAGACTACGGGATGATTCGTTTATCAGGGCTATACAATGTCCAGTAGGTAGATTCGAATGAACTGCATATCTAAAAAAAAAAAAACAAAGATGTACATGTACAAATATATCACAAAAAAAAAAAATAGAACAAAAAACATTAAATTGCAGACCTGGCATCCACACCTGCAGAGCGAACTAAATTTTCCAACATTGCTCCCCTAGGATCATTTCCAAGACCTCCACAATAGATACTGCATTGATTCTTAAAGGTGTCATCAAAGAGCCATTGCAAAATCCTCATTGAGTTTTGTGCAGATCCTCCAGCACTAATTTTTTGTTCTAAACTATTTAATATGTATTGTTAACAACATTCAGAGGAATTAAAGCATGCGAGAAATAATGTTAAAATATATTTATTAACTCTTGTGGTAAATCTGCCAATATCTCCTGCATTTTTTCATTGGGGAGTTCCATTTCCCCATCCTCCGTAAGATCATATTTTTTCAAGATATCCTTATTTTTCAGAAACACATAAACATCCAACAAAGGATTGCCGAAAGCTACAATTGCAGGGACATTCAGCTCCAGGAAAGCAATTTTCAATGGAATTCCTTCAGCCATGTTTATTTACAATTTTTATTGTCCAAATATTCTATATTTGTGGAAAACATTCAATTAATTATTTAAACTTCAGTCATGATATTGTATAACCATAAACGTTTAATATATATAGTACCATACCTTTATAAATACGAAAAATAGTAAAATTAAAGCGTAAATATAACATTTATAACAAACAAAGTATATTTACAATAATCACATTATTTATTGGTTAAAATTTCTTCGGTTAAATGTTACTGTTTTTCGATGTTTATATCATATTATAGGCTATTTTTAAAAACATTTTCTCGTAAAACTGTCTGTTCATCTTATTTTTCACGACAACGTGTAATTGTGAGAAAAAATCAATATGAGTATTTCACGTACTTCCATTCTATTCGAGATCGGCGTGAAGGTTACGCTTCGTAAACCATTCACAAAGTTGTAATTATAATCTCTACAGTTTTTCCATATTTACGTGAAATGGAATTATTTTCATGGGAAACAATTTGTAAAGTCTTAAAGAAGCAACACCTTTCTCCCTACATAAAACACAAATTTACAAACATGTACTACATGTTCAGTTTTAATTTCAATGAAATTTAAATATTTATTTTTATTCCTTTTCGTTTAATCTCCGTGACATTTTACACGTTGTTTCATTACGTTTGTTGTATATTATTACATGATCTGTCAATCGTCTTTATAACGTGATACTTGTCCAATTATTCTTATTATTAAAAATTAATCATTCCGAACAAAAGCGTATATCAATAGTATGGAAGTAAATCGGCTCTAATCGTAAGTTACAGAGAATATGCACGCATAGCAAGTTATAACATATAATTTATACAGAATCCACGAACACTGTCCACGGATCTACAAAACGATGCAAACTGTCACGGGATATTGACAAAAGACGGAAGATAGATCAACCTTTAAAAGGCTTTCAGTTATTTTACCTTTGTTATGCATCATGGTCAACAATCCAATTGGATACGTATTCGGTAAAGACAATATAGATCTCTCTTATTGTATTCGATCTTAATTCGATTTAAGTTACGATGATAGCTAATAATATGCGAAAGTAGATATATGGGTTTTAATTTTACCACGTTTTAAACGAATGGCATCCTTAGTTGACCAAAGTAAAACGGCTAAAGTTATTCTAGAGGTCATTTTCCCTGTAATTTGAGTTTCCCTTATCAATAATACTACTCTCTGGCAGTGTTACCAGACCGGGCACTGGGTGCACCGGGAACTCCTCATTCCACTTTCACGTACTATGCCAGGTTACGCGTACACCGGCTCGTAGAGTTTCGGAAAATCGAGGAAGACAAACTGACTGACACTCATCATCCTCTTCCTCGATTCTCGAAAGCTGCCCGAAGTGTACGGATGCACTTCGTATACCACAAATGTTCTAGAATAATATTGTGCAAAATATTAATTATCCATTTATTTATAAAACGTGTTATCAAGATTTCGAGACGTGTAAAACATTCCTTGTGTTTACATCAATCGCAATCATAATACATATTTTCCATGCTCTATCGCTAATAACTAATTAATTAGAGCGAGGAGCGTTGCAAAATCGGTCCTTGAATGTTGCCCGGGATATCCGCTTGGTGGGTTCCTATATTCGTTAATAACTTGTTAATTACGGGCGGTATGGTTACAAAAAGTATCCTCGAATCTAACCAAGGGTCTATGCTACATTCTTCGATTTTAAAAGTTCATATTTTAATTAAAGAAATGGAGTTATTAATGAATAATCAAGGTACTGCGTAACAGGAGTACCAGGAGTGGGGGAACCTGTGCTCCGGATACCTCCTTTACTTTTCTGCGATCCAGGCACGATTTTAGCAGTTAGAATCCCTGATATTAGATGGCGACACGTATTCTGAATACGATCCGAAGTGTATCCACGTTCAGTTTGAGCAGCTTTGGAGAATCGTGGAAGAGGATGGGTGTCAGTTTGTCTTTTTCTTCCTCAGGTCCGTGGTAAAGTTTACACGCGGTGTACACGCTCGTGAAATTTGAGGTTAAAGTGAAAGAAATTTTAATTTCAAAATGGTCCGTAAGAAAATAGATAATCGCGTACGTGTTTTAATCGAGAATGGTGTAACTACGGGACATCGAACAATGTTTATCGTTATCGGTGATAAAGCAAGGGACCAGGTAAGCAAAAATCGTTGTAAATGTGTTTGCATACTAGTCACAATTAGATCGGATATTTAATTACATTGTCCTTTAATAACAATGTTCTTAGGTTGTTCTGCTACATCATATGTTGTCAAAATCCGTGGTAAAGGCTAGACCTTCTGTACTTTGGTGTTACAAGAAAGAATTGGGGTTTAGCAGTCACAGAAAGAAAAGAATGAAGTCCTTGCAAAAGAAAGTGAAGTCTGGAAAGTTAGACGTTAACGAGGACGACCCATTTGAATTATTTGTTGTATCTACTAATATACGTTATTGTTATTATCATGAAACACATAAAATATTGGGAAATACATATGGCATGTGTGTCTTACAAGTAAAGTTTCCGACGTGTCTATTTTTTTCTTTTACATTTAATTCTAAAACAATCATTGTGACAAAGAATCAACTTCTGTAGGATTTTGAAGCCATTACACCAAATTTATTGGCACGTACTATTGAAACTGTAGAGGGAGGAGGAATTATTATATTTCTTTTACAATCCGTGAACTCGCTAAAACAATTATACACAATGAATATGGATGTTCATCAAAGATTCCGTACAGAAGCCCATCAAGTATAACATAAATTTTTATTCGATTAATTTAAATGTAGTTTTATGATATTAATTTTCCTAATTTTTTTTTTGTAGGCAGTAGTTGGTCGTTTCAATGAAAGATTTTTATTATCTCTTGCTTCTTGTAAAAGATGTTTAGTTGTCGACGATCAATTAAATATATTGCCATTATCATCGCACAATTTAAAAATTGAAACTGTGCAAAAATCGTTATCTTCAGAAGAGCAAACAGAATTAGATACTTTGAAAGAAAGTTTACAAGACACGCAACCTATTTCTTCTCTTATTAATTGTTGCAAGACGGTTGATCAGGTTTGTTATATGATATACAGAGGACCAACACTGCAGTTATTATGCTGCTAAATTTTTATGTTTAGTATAAGGTATAATTAATATACAATTTTTAGGCAAAAGCGCTTCTAAAATTTATTGAATGTATATCTGAGAAAACATTAAGATCTACCGTTTCTTTAACTGCTGCCAGAGGACGCGGAAAATCTGCAGCTTTGGGTTTAGCTATCGCTGGTGCTGTAACATTTGGTTATTCGAATATTTATATTTCAAGCCCAAGTCCAGAAAATTTGAATACACTGTTTGAATTCGTTTTCAAAGGTAAATTATATACCGCATAATTAATTAAATGTATCGCGATGTTATTAATTTGTTACATTATTTTTAGGTTTTGATGCACTAGGATATCAAGAACACCTTGATTATGGACTAGTACAATCTATAAATCCTGAATTTAATAAAGCTACTGTACGCGTAAATGTCTTTCGCGATCACAGACAGACAATTCAGGTATGCATTTAATCTTCATTGAAGTATCTGCATACAAGTATTAATACAAAGAAAATAATTGTTTTCAGTATATTCATCCTACAGATGCACATAAATTAAATCAAGCTGAACTACTTGTAATTGATGAGGCTGCTGCAATACCTCTTCCTTATGTAAAAGCTATGCTTGGTCCTTATTTAACATTTCTTGCATCGACTATCAATGGGTAAAAGTAACATTTTGTATTTCAATAATTTTCCTTAATTAACATTTCTATATTTACATTATATTTAACTTTTAACAGATACGAAGGAACAGGTAGATCGTTATCGTTAAAGCTATTACAACAGTTAAAAAGTCAAACTGTTGGTTCAAATAGTCATGAAAAACATGATAAACAACAAACCGAAAAAACTATCATTGGAAGGCAGTTACATGAGCTTACTCTCGACGAATCTATTCGGTATAAGCCAGGAGATTCTGTTGAACAATGGTTATGTGATTTATTATGCTTAAATGCTACAAATATGCTTTTGTTAACCGGATGTCCACCCCCTGACATGTGTCAATTATATTATATAAACAGGTACGAAATTCGTTCACATCAAATACGAATAAATATTTTTTTATTATTTTATTGTGTATTGTTATTTCACATTTGTTTTCTTTCTAGAGATACGTTGTTCTCTTACCACAAAGCATCCGAATTGTTTTTACAAAGACTAGTGGCACTTTATGTCGCTTCGCATTACAAGGTAAATATCCGTGGTATGTTTCTGTATAACTTAAAGAGTATTAAATTTCAAAAATATTTTAGAATAGTCCAAATGATTTACAAATGATGTCTGATGCACCCGCGCACCATCTGTTTTGTCTTCTGGGACCAGTAGATTCAAATAAAAAAACATTGCCCGAAATATTAGTAGTCATTCAAGTAAGTATATACGATGTAGCGATAAGTGTAAATATATATGTAAATTTAAATAATTTCAGTACCTTTGCAGTTCTAATATTTATATAATATATAGATTTGTTTAGAAGGTGAAATCAGTAAAAACACTATAAACGATGGACTTGTGCGAGGACGTAGAGCAGCCGGTGATCTCATACCATGGACTATCGCACAACAATATCAAGATCAAGACTTTCCTACATTAGCGGGAGCACGTATCGTTCGCATCGCGACACATCCCGATTACCAAGGAGTAAATATACTTTATTCTTAACGTTAAAAAATGTTCGTGAACAATGAAAACTAAATGTTAGGATACTGTAAACACCCTTTCCTGTTCGACACCTATCTCGATTTTTGGTATAGTTAAAAGGTATTATCTGTACTTGATAAACATTTATTGTAGATGGGATATGGCAGTCGAGCATTAGAATTACTGAAGCAATACTATGAAATGAAAATGCTTAACATCAGCGAAGCAACACTAGAAGCGCCCATAACGGAAATATCACAAGTTCAAGATGAAGAAGTTAATCTGTTGGAAGAAAGAATTGGTAATAGAATTATTATGTTAGGTACCGAATGTAAATGCACATAAAAAGATCATTCGGGACGAAATCGGGTGTGGTCATATAATTTTGTCATAGAATATGGTTTTTACAGAACCCCGAGCCACCCTGCCACCATTACTTCTAAAACTAACTGAAAGACGGCCAGAAAGTTTGGATTATTTAGGCGTATCTTACGGCATTACCGAATCGCTTTTAAAATTTTGGAAACGAGCTAATTTCTTGCCTGTATACTTAAGGTCGGTATTATTATTATTTCTGTAAATTGAACGAAAATTAGTATTTTTCTCATTTTATTTTAGACAAACTGCAAACGATATAACTGGTGAACACTCGTGTATAATGTTGTGTAAAATAAATTCTGAACAACAGCATGATGCTAGGTGGCTTCAATCATATTGGATCGATTTTCGGCGACGATTTATAGCTTTACTTTCCTTCCCGTTTAATGCATATTCATCCTCATTGGCTTTGAGCATATTAATCAACAAAGCAATTACACCAGAGATTACTAGTTAATATATTTTTTATGATTTTTTTCTACAATGTGTGGGATTAAAGTGTTCTCATTGTTATAATTGTTTTTCTTCTTTAGCATTGACGAAGGATGTATTGGATGTATATTTTACATCGTATGATCTGAAACGTTTAGCTATGTATAGTAACAATATGGTAGATTATCATTTAATAATGGATCTGTTGCCGCCGTTGGCGCGTTTGTATTTCTTAAATATGATGGGCGATACTCATTTATCACCAGTACAATCGGTAGTAATTTTTACATTTACAACAAAAATCAATAATTTTTAAATATATGTATTCGAAAAATAATGCTTTTAATTTCAGGCCATTTTATTGGGATTAGGCCTGCAACACAAAACTGTTGATAAATTAGCAGAGGAATTAAATTTACCGTCATCGCAATTACTTGGTTTATTCAATCGTATTGTACGAAAATTTATGCAATATCTCAACAGAATTGCAGAGAACTTTATCGAAACTACTATGATGAAAAAAGAATCAAATAATGAGAATATTCAACTCAATCCTATAAATGGACAAAGTTTACACGACGAATTAGAAACTGCAGCTAAGGTTCAGTTATTCTTTCCTTATATAAGATGTGCAATACCTGTTATATGATGTTAACAAACTATACTACAAATATAACTTTTTCAGGATTTAAAAGTTAAACAGAAAGCCGAATTAGAGAAACTAAAGAAGGAAAACTTGGAGCAATATGCTATTAAAGGCTCGGAAGCTGACTGGAACGATGCACTATCCGGGAAAAAAAGCAAAACTCTTATATCTGTAAAAAGTAGCGAGAAAAAAATATCGGAAGATGATTCTGTTTTAGAACCTCGAACAAAGCACTCGAAAAAGAGAAAAAGACATTCTTCTAAAACCTGACGGGTGTCAAATATTTTTAGAGATTCCTATTAAAACAAACGAATGAAATTTTTCGCGTATAATTTCCTTTTCCGTTTTCTCCCGGTTCCTTTTCCTTGGTAGAAGATGATCTTCAAATTTCTTTTTGCAATTAGAACATGTTAAAAATATCAAAAACACTGTTCATAACGCACTAAAAGTATTTTCTTTTCGCACAAGATTATTTTAACGCATTTGTGGTATACTTTTTTAGATAGTGAATTTTTTTTCGACGATCTGACGCTCACTTCGGGCAGCTTCGAACAATCGAGAAAGAGGGTTAGTGTCAGTTTGTCTTTCTCGACAATTTCATTTACATTGATAAAATGTGAACGATTTTCGGGTAGTCGTACCACGGACCAGGTATACGAGTAGACCTTACGTCCAATGTATTTTTTCGGCCCAGTTTTATGGGGTCTCGAAACCCCATTACCATTTTCGTGTCACTCGCAACATTGCCAACAGGTTACACAAATGAACCCAAGAGGAAGCGAGACAGAGAATTTTTTTTCTCGAAAATGCGTAGGATTTCAAGGAAGTGTCTATTACCAAAAATGATTCTAATTGACCCCCGCAACCGAAAATAATTTTTCCAGAACGATTAATATTTTTTTAATATTTTTAAAACGTTCCAATTGACCGACACGAGAATCGTTCTCGCATGTTTGGAGATTAAACCCCTCGATGCAAATTTACGATTCAAAATACACAACTTCTCTTCGTGTGCATTAATGTGTGTTTTGTTGCGCGTTGTAACATATCGTTTTGCGATTTTAGTGACATGTACAATTTACTGATAAGAAATGAAAGATAGAAACTTATACAAAAGATCGAAGAAATGAATACGTGATGTACGACCTCGGTTCTCGACAGAAATTCAAAGAAACTTTCAGTCTCCTCGAATTTGTCCATATTTTCATACCTATTGTTTGCAATTATTATTAATTAACATCAGGCAATAGTTAAAATAATACTCGACAGCCTGGGTTGTATAAATAGTTGTTTTTAATACCATTTTTCGGTCAAAGGCACGGTTAACTGTTAATTGATTGGTGGCACTCGCCAAGGATGGTCTTCCCCACCCCTTTGCTCTTCTGCCTGAGGCTCACTGCCGGTGACGAACTCTCTCTATCTCTTTCTCCTTTGGACTGGCGGACGTGACGGAACCTCGTGGGTCTGCGCTCCACTTCTACTGACCACTACTGACTACTGACGAGCCCTGGCGACCAATACTGACCAGTAGTGACCACTAGTGACCAAGATTGACAACTCCTGAGAACTCGTGGGGGCTGTTGACCACTACTGACCACTACTGACCAGTGCTGAAATACCGCGTGTAACTATGTGTCAACAAGTAGTAAGTCCATTCCACTCATTTATATGTATTAGTACAAAATTTGTTTGTTTCTTTTATTTGATTGTACATCAAGTGAAAATGGTAATGAACTACCGTGTTGGTTCATTTTCATATTTGTCCCTACAATATTTCGTGAATTTTGATGGCATCGATGGGAATATGACTTTCAATTTTATGCTATTACTCGAATTCTCGTAACATTTCACAGAGATACATCAATTCGCTAATTGCGATACTAATATAGGTATGTGTTTTTGTTTCCTTCGGGTCTCCATTCGCAGCAACCTCCACGTGGTGGGACCTGGGTAATGTTATTTAGCGTTTAATTAATAATCGTATCACTCTTAGCTGGGTAATGCAATTATTAATTAAAAACTAAACAATATTAGCAAATTGGCTGCGATCCGCTTTGCATAGGTCATCATAAATATAGAGCTTCTTCGCTAGGTTAGTTTTGTTTCTTATCGATTCATCAAAGATTCAAGAGTATTGTCACAGACGAGGTATACGATTTTTTTCACCCATTTTTACGAGGTCTCGAAACCTCATTATCATTTTCGTGTCATTCGCAACGTTACCAACAGATTCAGAAATGAATTTTAATCCCTTCCATAGTCAGCTCACATGTATTTACGCAACGCTACATTGTTTGTCTATCGATACTAATTCAGTGAATAGTTTCTCAACTGACCGCCATCCATGAAAAGAGGACGCTACAATCACCTCCGAATTTTCAGGTCGGTATGGCAGTCAGATTGGTCCACAAAAGTCCATATACTTCGTCTGTGGCTGTATTTTGTAACATGTTTTTAAACGTTTATATTATTTGTTTAAATTACGAGAATAGACGAAACCACGAACGTGCTACCGGGCAAAAGAAAGGTGAATCGAGTACTGCCTTTGAACGGTTCTATGAATCAGAACTATTCACGGGTATAGACTTAACCATCTGCCATATTGTCTGCCAACAATGGCGCTGCGTGACTTCTTCTATTAGCCTTCTACGTTACCCAAGTGGTACTCGAAGCACGCAGTCTGTTTTCAAAATTGTACTCGAGTCCAGTCCTTGCGAGATACGTACACATAGGTCCTTGACAAGTGCAGTAGCATATCGAACACTTTGAATTTCTTTTTTTCCATGTTCAAAGCGTACGTCTATCAATCCATGTTGTTTTGGAAAATATTCTACCCCAGTAGTATGTATCGGTTAAGAGTTACGTAATTTAAATTACAAGAATGTGAACTTGGATTTCATTTATCTCCCTTTGGGTCTCCGGTCGCATCAACTTGCTAATGGCTGCGAATTAAATATAACTTCTTTAAATATCAGACAAAATTGTTAATAATATCAATCCCTATGTATGCAAGGGATGAAAGACTTTTCCATGTTAGCTAAATTTGTCTCTTTCAGTAGTTTAATTGACTATGGTTTCCAAGAGTTCCCTCGAAAACCACTGGTTTTTTATAAGGTCAATATTTTTGTTTGACACCAATTTTCATAAGATGCACAGTTTATTCTATGCATCAAAAGTCTTTGAATTCAGTATTAACGTGCGATAGTAAGGTCGTCTCGGGTATTGTTGGTCCCTAACCGAAACGGAAGTCGATGGACCGCCTCTTGTCGGTTCTCTGCGTGACCGAGCGGCGCTACACGGTGTTTGCTCGCTCGGTAGGGGAGCGTCAACACATAGCTTTTACGAATCTTTAGTTCACGAAGCCTTTTCGACAGTTGGACCGTTTAGCAACTATAAAAATTCTAGAATTTTTTAGAAAAATATAGTAAATTCTGCGCTTTCAACCATCCAGTACACTGCGTTGTTAATCATTCGAGGTTTCTTCCTGGTCAGGCATAGCATCGTTCGTAAATAAATAAATCGTTCAAAAAAAAAAAAAATCGTGCCACTCCGAATGAATCGTGTAATCGAACATCGCGTAAAAGGAGAGTCAAGTGTGCTTTTATTTCGAATTGTACGTTATAATTGTGAATTTCGTTTCGTTGTGTTCCGCGTGATCGTTATCGGACAATTTGTAAATGAAACCGAACAAGAATCCGGGGTGGGGGGTAAAATAGCGCGGCGGCGGGGCTAAAAAGCGTCGAACGGGGTGCATTATCGGGGTGGCGGATAATTAATTAGAGTGGCAGCGAGAATGTAAACAGAGATTCGGTCGACGAGCGGCGGATTCGGTTCGGCCGACTGGAAGATTTCGGTATATTCGGTTTGGTCTTTGGGGCAAACATAATCGACGTCTGTGTGTTTCCCTCGAGAGTCAAAGTCGACGTCGGTGTCGTCGTTGTCGCTGTCGTGGGTGACGACGAAATGGACGCGCGACGGACGCTTTTCCCCGTCGACGATAAACCAGAATCGTCATCGGCCCCGGTAATTATTCGTCCCGCTAAATTGTCGTTGCTCGTTACTGTTCTGGAAGAACGATCGGCCGATCGGTCGCGTGTTTACGTATTGCTGGTCGTTTTCGAATATACAGACTCGTGCACGTATACAGAGTACACAGAACACATCGGGTCCGAATCCATGGAGAATATTGCGCAAACTATTATCTGTTTGTCGTAACGCGACGCTTGCGGTCTATATTATCGGTGTTCGTGCGAACGGGGACCAACATTTCGGGAATCGAATTTACGCTCGTAGATCGATCAATGTTAAAAAAAAAAGCTTGAAAGCGTTGTTTCTTTCGCGTCGACAGATAATATTCGACCGCGGTTAAGTCATCGGTGGACAACGATCTGGGCAGCGTTAGGTTTTTGGTCGATAGAGTAACGCGATATGTAATGGAACTGGCCCAGTGTCTGGTATTGCGTGTAAGTCAGCAGACCGCAGGTAGATTCGCTTTCACTTTGCGGTTCTCTCGCGCGTGTTTCGCTATGATATTTCGTGGAAAGATATACTTTGGTAGCGGAAGGAAACGATCGGGGGCGAGTGGACGGGACGGAAGCGACGCGAACGTCTTCACGTTTCTCCGTTGCGGTCTCGCGGTTGATATTCGCGACTTTGTATATCGTTTCACGACGAAAAACTGAACGAAAACGTGACCGGTGATTCGTTCGATCGACGCACCGTGTATAGAAATCGTGTTAATAGAATCAGTGGGAAGGTAATCCATTTTCCTAAGACAAGAAGCAGGCCACAGCGAGGTGCACGTAATTGCGTTAGTGTAATTACGTTACACACGTACGGATAGCACTTTCCCAAATAACAACGGCGAGCGGCATGGCAGAGGCTCGGTACCGCCGATGCGAAAATCGAAACGCGTCGCGACTGTTCACGCGAATCCCACCTTCTACGACGATACGAGGTTTTAAATCAAACAGTACATTCGCCCAGGAAACGTTTGCAATTAACTGTCAAAGACAACTACCTCCAATCGTCAAGAAACGGAACTTTTGTCTCGAGTAAAATTTCACGGGTTTCTGGCAGTGAACGCGTTAAAGTGAATTTTCGAACATCGTTCCGTATCTTTTCAGACGCGGCGCGGAAGAATCGTCGATGGATCGCGAACGGAATATTTGTTGCTGGCAATCGAGGAGCTGGACGTCGATAGGATCGTCGAGGGGGTTGGCGAAATAGGAGCGAGATTCGAAGGGATTCGAGGTGGAGTGAAAGATGGGACGGAAGAACGACAGGACGAACGGCAAGCGGCAAGCGAG